CCGCATGAACATCAACTCCCTTCTCAACCACGAGACCGAGTCAGGCTCAGGAGAATGCGGCGCTCACTCCTCACCATACACTCACCATGCAACAGTCCCATCCTCATCGCATGGCACCAGTTACGGGCAGCCCTCACCGGGCTACCCCCCCCCTAGCCCAAATCAATACTGGTACAGCCGGTATCAAGGCTATCACGACACAAGTCCAGGGGCTGCATCGACAGCAACAACGCACAGTAGCGTGAGCGGAGGCGCCATGAACCCGCAACAGCAGCACATGTTCTTATCCTATAAGCCATCGGGCATTTCATCCTTCGGCGGCTCGCACTCAGGCTCGACCTCGCTCTCTCTTTCCGGCCGCACGGGATCCGCTCGGTCTTCACCAGACCCTTACCATCCCCGTGAACGGTACGACTCTGTCTCGAGTAGTTCATCGACAAGCGGGCCTGCGGACCGTCGGCGTCCCCCGCGGCCCAAGTACGAGGAAGAAGAGATGTACTTCATCTGGTATCACCGAGTCGATCTGTGTCAGGAGTGGAAGGAAGTTCGTGAGAGCTTTAATCACCAGTTTCCTTCACGCCAGCGCCGTGGATTCCAGGGCATCCAGTGCAAATTCTATCGCTTCATCAAGGAGAAGAAGTGTCCGACTCTCCGGGAGCAGCGCCGCATGCGTGATGGCGAGTTTCTGCGTGAGGGTGCGGCGTTGGGCCCCGAGGCTGGAGCGCCGCGGTTTGGAGTGATCGAGTGGGCAAATGTTTGGTATCCTTGGATGAGGGAGGATCGAGAGACAGCTCTGCGACGACAGCGTGCGGCGGCAGCAGCGATGGCAGCGGAGGCGTGATTTTCTTATTCGCTTGATTTGACTTGTTATTTCCTGGTCAAATGGGTGGCTAATTTGTTCTGTTTAATTTTTCGGAGTTCTGTATTTTGGGCAGGGAGGCTTTGTCTAACGTTCAAGATACCTCATGGGCGTTCTTTTCTATCGGTGTTTTATATCCATGACATGATGATCATATCGTGGGCGGCTATCTGCTTTTTGTTTCTCTCTCGTTGCAGCAGGCATTTTGGATTCCTTCCTTTCGACCATATGTCTTTCTCACACACTTTGGTACACATCTACATCTACATCTACAGATACTACTACATCTACATTTACATGAACACTCATGGCAAACACAAGAGATTATTATCTTCTCAAACTTCGAGCTTTCTCACAGCTTAGTACCATTCAATTCGTCCGTCCTCGTCCGCCCTCGTCCGTTGAACGATCGCATTATCCCTTCTCTGCAATGCCCAGCCTCGCCCCTCCCGTTCTCGAATCAGGCCAGCACAGCCCTCCCGATCAATAGCCTTATGCAGCCTTGTAAAACTGGAGTTTACATTAATTACGCATTGCAAAGTGCTGCAAGGCTTTAATGGCGCCACACTGAGGTCATAAATGGCGTATTTTAGGGTAAGTGCGATGTAGGTAGATAGACCAATAAACTACAATCAACAGAAAGATCGCCCATCATTCAAGAAAAGATGTCAAACCCCAAACAGGTCTCCACATCTACGAGTAATAAAAAGAAGAAGAAAACAAGGCCAAGCAAGGCCCCCCTACCTCGAATCTCCCTGAATCCCGCAGGCTGTGCGGACGTGAATCACTTTTACAAAATAGAGCACCGGACCCAATCCCGTTCCTATTCCTAGAAACATCTTTTAAGTTCGGCCCCCAGAGGGAACAAAGAGTAATTACGTATCAAGTTGGCGTGTAATTCTTTAGAAGTCTCCACTCGCGGCCACAGTCCAGTGATCGTTTCATATCTCATTTTGACAAGAGATGAAGGAGGCTTGGGGCCTTCCTTAGTCCTTCGGGCCGGAGTTGGATTCTGGGGGCGGACCCTTGACTCGTTCAGTAATAACATGCGAGCCTGGTCGCGAACTGCCGTACGTAGGTCGCCGATGGGTTGGGAACTCCACGCTTAATCTGCTAGTTGGAAAGGGGGCCAGAGATCATCACTGGGTGGACGTCAATGATGTTCGGGATTTCGGGCCGTTTCTTATTTTAGCTGTGAAGGATTCGAGGATTGTGGGGGGAGGGAAGAGTGCTGGCGTGGCACTGAAGATAGAAACAAATGCTTTCTTTATGCTTGTGTTTTGATGCGTAACCTTGCTATGTGCATATGAAAAGGGGGCGCAAAAGAAGGCACTCGGGAATAACGCAATCGATTGTCAACACTTTGCTCGATCCTTCTGTGTATCTATACAAGGCTATATTTGTGTGAACTTACGATGTACCCATTGTATCTGAGCTTATGTACAATACACTCAGCATAAGCATATGTACCTTCAAGTTCCATACATACCGTACATACAGCAGTACGGAGTATGATCAATACGATAGTTCGACGAGGTCAAGGCTGACAAAACCGTATTCGCACTAGCTCGCACTGCGAGACAAATTCGGCTAGATGTCATTCTTCACGTTCTGTCATATCCGACCGAGCTTTCACGCAGTTATTCCCATAATAGGGTTCGCGCTGCGCCCATTCTATTCGAGTAAGGTTGCAGAAGTGGATAACTAAAATGTGATACTGAGGGCCACCTGGGGCTGCGAGGAGTACAGGAAATCTTCAGCATACGCTCAAGTGCCGAAAGAAAAGACAAGACCCGACCCTCCGATCGACATCCTATCGGTATGCCACACACTGGTTATTTACTACAGACTAAATCGATTCCATTACCTATACTTTCCTAAGGGGTTTATTCCTGCATAGTACTTAGCGTTTGCTGGGCGTCAGATTGAATAGTAATACCAGATGGTGAGACAGATAGTGGAGCAGATTACGAATACACGATCTTGGGACCCGAGATCGCCATCGAGGAGTTCTTCGAGAATTATTTACGGAGTACAGCGTACCGTTTTGGATAGTAGGCAACTGATTTAGGCCGTCCGTTCAAGGACGATTAACTTAGGTACTTTAGCCCTTCCCTAGGCCATCCATATCTACATCCATAATGTAGCCAGTCACAAATAAGCATGTTTGCGATTAAGCCCAGCGCTTTGCCCAAGGTCAACTCAACACCTCATACCAATGTATCCATCTCTACGATATCATTGAAAATAGCCTACATATGAGTATTCTATATTAGTAGTACCATTCTAAATGTCAGCAGTCCGCCTAAAAAGACCCGACGCCTTAGTCAAGTCACACCGACATGATTCCCAACCATCATCAACAATCAACGAATAAGGCATCCCATCAATTTCGGGCAACTTTACTATAGGTTCAAACCAGTGGCTCCTCCTCCTTCCAGCCACTTCTGCAGAATCTTACCTTCGCTTCCACAATGCCCATGTCACCCGCGCCCACCTGGGCACACACCCTGCCAGTGACAAGCTTGCATGGCCAACCAATAAATGACCTGTAATCTCGTCCGGAAAGAGGAAAATGGCACGAAGGAGTGTGAAGAATTGTCTTTACTGGTCTTCACCGTTTACTAGTGCCTAGTATTTTATTATTGTTGCTACTAGGAGTACGTGCGTAAATACCCCACACACTTCATTCAAGTGTTAAGTTAATTTTACCTTACCGTATCTATAGAAATACCTCGAGCTCTAACTATCCCAATGGTCAACGTCTGGGCATATAGTAATAATTGAACTTGAATTCAAGTTGAGTGGTATTCCTAGTTATGTGTTTCCAAAAACATCTATTGTTTATTATGCCGGTATATCCATTCCACTTCCAAGGTTTATTTCACTTCACTTCATTTCCACTTACTCACCTCCACAAAAGCAAAGCAAAAGCAAAAGCAAACCCGACTCCGAAGTCCATAAATCAAATCCCTCGGCCATAAGCACGAAATTCCCGAAACAGAAAATTCTCGGACCCGCTACTTCAAATCAACAACCGTAAGCATGAAAACCCAAAAAAAATAAGTCAAGGATAAAAACCCACCTGCCAGTGAACAACTCACAACCAGTGGCTCCTTCGTACTCTAATGTCTTCGAAAAAAAAACTCTACTTTTTTAAGATTCCAGACTCCGATCCACTCAGACTTGACCCGGGTAATTAGATCCGACGTGCCCAGGTGCCCAGAACCCGTCGAAAGTATGTATATACGTATCCAAACCAATCAATGACATAGATTCTTCAGAGAAGGTTCTTCGCCTCCGAGCTGCCGAAAGTCATCAGCATCACATCGCATCAGCACTAGTGCCATGTGTCCGAAATAAGAAGGAGAGACGTTCACCTGCAGTTTTGCTAGTTGTGGCGGTGTAGTACCGCTTATTTTGACTTGTTGCAATTCGTTTCAAAGTTTTAAAAAAGAATTTTCAAATGGACCTTTTGATATATTTTGTTCACGAGGTATGGACATATGACTAGTACTAGGGTTACTACTAGTAGTTCAGGCCAGTTGGCGGATCGGGGGTATATCGGGTGTGCACAAGTCGTTCATCGGATTGTCAAGTTGCTTCTTTGATACCACCTTACCATGGCAATGTTGTGCATACCACTAGTAACTAGTATTGTCTGTCGTGCCTGTTGATTACTACTCGTAGTAGCAATACAGGGACTGTACTACTACTACCCTGTTAATACCTAGTTGCTGGGTGTTGTATGGAGGGCTCATCCTCGTGGCTGACGAATGAAAGATGCCACTGCCATACTTTACATTGCACTACAGTAGATCACACAACTGCAATAATTGGATAGAAATGGGTCTTGGTTGGATAATTCATTTTTCAGATGGTGCTAGTTGTAATATTGCCCCGTGAGAGGAAAAAAGAAAGGGGGAAATCACAAGGGAAAAAAACGAGAATCGTCGAAACTCAAAACCAGAGACAATCTGTAGAGCACTCTCACATCACCACATTTTGGGATTCTTCCACTCATTGTCCCATCTTCCATCCACCACATGGTATTTGTCGATCCGTTTTAATGCACGAAAGCTTTTGTGGTGCAAAATAGAAAATCGTCGACTGGGATAAAGCGTGGCTCAAAGCGAGCCGATCAGGCAGCCTCGGCAGTGGACATTTGGTATGGGATCGAGTTGCCGTGGAAGGCTTCGGCGGTCTTGCAGCTGTGTTTAAAGTCAGCATGGAATCGCATTGCATTGCATAGTGTGATCGGAGAGAATACGTACGGATCGGTCATGAATCCGACCTCACATTCATCCCAGGGCTGCTCCTCCTCGATTTTGGTAAAGAACCGGTTACCGTGAGTAACGCCACAGAAGAAAAAGTAGGCGGAACCGGGCTAGATAAATGTTAGTTGACTCTCTCTTCCTCTCGTTTGACAGGTAATGCAGTTGAAACGGGGAAAGGAGAGATGACTTACACAGTCAGCGCGAGCATTGTACAGAATATGGTCAACGGTCAGGCCGCTGGCCAAATCGTGCAGATCCTGAAGAGTCTTGTCAAGGGGGACAGGAGCCAGGCGAACTAGACGCGAAGCCTCATTCTCCATCATACTGGTGAAGGTTGGAAGGATCTTGTCCGAACCAGAAACCCGGACCACCTCGATGATGTGGTCGTCTTCAACCTTGATGCCGGAAGGATAGGCCTCGAGATACTTGGTGCAGCTTTCCTCGTCGCAGAACTGAACGATGAATTCGTGCTCTTCGCCGCGGAAGATGCGATCCACGGCACCACCGTGAACAAGGCATAGCATGTCTGAGTATGTAGCCCACTCGGGAACATTCTTGAATGCAATACGTCGAGGGGCGATCTTCTGACCGCCCAAATTGAAGCCACGGGTATGAACGGCCTTGAAGGAGTCCAAGAACTCCTGAGGGGAGCTCACATGACGCATAGTGGGAGCGTTAGCAGGGGCGGTAGGGCTCGCCTCAGGGTTGGCTGCTGGGGTGAATTCAGCGGCTGCAGGGTTGGTACCGGCATTGCTGGAGAGCTTAATGCCGTCAACTTGAGCTTTCTCGGAGAAATCCTGCGCGAGCGGATCTGTCAGTGAAATGCCGGTGCACATCTCAATACCAACCATGCCATATGAAGAGCTGCTTCACAAGTCAAGCCAAGTGAAGCGAGTGAGGCGAGGCGAGGATGGAGGAAGATACGAACAATGGCAGCGATAGCCTGGGTCAGGCCTTCATCCTGATAAGAGATGTCGACTTCCTGGCGATAGATCTCGAGAGCGACCTCAGCGGCAGAAGCCCGATTCACTCGCTCAAACTCAGCCTGCTCACGGCGTCGCAAATTGGCAGGAGCATGGATACTCGCATCCAGAGGACGGCCACGTTTGGCAGACCACATGGTTGTAACTCTCCACACGATCTTCCGAATACGTACAAGTTCGATTTGCGTCTCCGTCTCAGGTATACCAAAAGGGGTGGTATGGCCGATGATGACAGCACCCATAGTGAAGTGATTTGAAACAGAAGGTTGACTGGAAGAGAACACGATGTTCGACTCTGGAGATAGAGGTATTTGAAAAGAAGAGCTTGGGGATGGTCAATGAGACAGAAGGAGAAGGAGAAGAGAGAGAAGAAGAGAAGAGAGAAAGGAAGAGAGGCGGCAGTGGATGGTCGATTGTTCAACCAGAACAATCACACAGTGGTGCTGCCTGGATGAGGAAGGTGCGACGGGGTTGTACTTTCCTCAAGGCAAACACCAGTGTTTACACTGTGCAGTACATACACTATGTGCATATACTAGGTGCATACACTGTGCAGTGAGTAGTTATGGCTCATTCAGAATGTATGGAAATGTACATTGATGCAATTCGTAATGCTCTATATATGTAAGAATGTGAATCCTAAGCAGACGCCAAAGCAAACATTAGAAACGTGATATAATATGAGGTGAGGCGAGATGAGATGACACCCACCACATCCACCATCATCATGATGGCACAGGAATACTCTCATAACCCTTCTGACCAGGTTTACGCTCCTCAACAATAACCTGCAAACCTCTCCTCCCACAATACCCATCATTCCCAGCAGTACGATCCACCACCTGAAAGGATCCCCCACCCTCAGCACTAGTATCAGAGACCCAAACTGTCTCCTGCACACTCTGACCAACCCCCTCGTCACGTCGCGGATTATACCACGGTAAGCCCACGAGGTGATTGCCAATATTGTGAATATGTGAGTACAGCCGTTCAAATCGGCGGGTCACGCCCAGCCAACGAAGAGTGCGAGCATCATATGCAACACGCACATACGGGTTCATATAAACTCCCGTATCTGTGATCGCTTCCACATCAGTCTGGGGGTCTTGAATATCCGCATGAATGAGGCAGCACTCCGAAGCCTCCCAGAAGAGATCCGGCCCAGAACGGAAGCGCACAGGAGTCACCCCCGGAGAGGAGGGTGCAGTCTGGAAGAACTTCGCATCAAAGGCGACCATGCCTCCCCAGCAACTCCGGACGCGGACAGCATCTCTACCCTGCAAGACGTCATTGCGACTGTCGCCATTGCCAGCATTCGAGAACCACGGGAAGAAAGGCAACCCCATGCTATACCCTTGCAGATCACGGGTGGCGTAAGTATCGTAGAATTTGAACGGATTGTCAAAGTCCACCGCACAAGCAGCGCGGTACTGCGCGAAGCCGTGCTCGTCGACGTTTGTCGAGAAGAGTAATTGGAGTGCATCAACCGGATCGAAGAGGATATCGTTTAGATAGAGGATTTTATCGTAGCGAATGTCCGGATTCTCGGTCAGAGGTTTGAGTGCTTTGTTCCGGACCTGCGCTAAGTATTCAATTCGCTTGACGCGGTTTTCGCCACCGGGGATCGTGACGGTTGGTATCGTTTTCAAGTCTAGATGTTCTTCGAACACGATTGATTTATCGGATAAAATGCGTTGTTCCAACTCGCGCAGTGCAGCGCGTCCCTCCTCGCCGCTGTCATTCTCGTAGATGCTCACGTATACATTTCCCGCGCCGAGAAATTCAATCAATTCTAGTAATTGCGCACCCCATTGTCCGCGCGCGAGCTCACCGTCTCGGTCATATAGACTTGCTGCGATAAACACTTTTTGCTCGTGTGGGTTCCCTCGGCCGGGCGCTGTGCTTTTTTGCGTGGATTTTTGTAAATCTTTGTAGTGCGTTGGTGGGTGGGTATATGAAGGACGGAAGATAGAGGTTAATACCACGAGGGCGGATATGATGAGGAACACGACGTGGATGTAGCAAAAGCGGCGGCGGGGGGGTGCAGCGGCGGAGATAGGTTCGGCGCGATTGGCGCGCGAAGATTGGTCTGTGGTTGGTCTTCACGCGAGAGTATCCCGGGAGGGAGGAGAAGAGGCGCGAGATCCAGGAGGCTCGATGGCGTCCGAATCGGGAGGAGGGAGGGACTTGCGATTCGAAGTCATCGTCGTCGAGATTGAAGGTTCCCTCGGAGTCGAGTGAGGAACGCGAGGCAAGCTCGTACTCGTCTGGGTGTAAGAGACGAGAAGACATGACGGGCATGAAAGGGGGGGTTTCTTTTCTTCAGCCCATGTCTAGAACTTTGCGGCAGGTCAGAGAAGAATCACGGAGGTCATCATCAACAAGTTCGAGCTGTCCCGTCCCAATGGGCTTAGCCCCTTATCGATTGTAGTGCTGACAGCCATTATGTCATCGTCACATGATGAGCTGAGGTATACATACAGTACGGAGTACGGAGTAGTACGATCTGTAGATATCATTGTTTAATATTTAATTTACTATACTATACACGGAATCTATTTCATAGAATGTACTACAGTACTCTGCCAAGACGAAAACCCAATCCTCGAGCATCAAGCATATCCAACGCAACTAGAAAAAAGCTCACGGAATTGCTGGGGGTTTCTTTTCCTGGGCTGCCGTGGCCAATCTGCGGGGATGTAGTGACGTAGCAGACTAACTCTACTTCTTCCCCATCTCATGCCCTCATCCCCTCACCTTTATCTTACCTTCTTTTTGCTTCAAACACTAAACAATTTCTTCCATACAGTATATACAGCATACAGAATATACAATTACTCTTGTTGTCTGCCACCACCACCACCACCATGTCCGACTTCCACTTCGCCAACACAACCAGCCCCGTCCCAGGAAACGGCACACCTCCACCCGAATTCAGTATAAAAGCCCCCTCCTCAACAGACGTCTGGTCCAAACCACCAAGCACCTCATCCTTCACCGCACCAATCCTCTACCGCTCAATCCCACTTTCAACCTTCAAACGAGCCCGCGTCGCCTTCACCGCACCCTGGCGACACAAATACGACCAGGGAGGTCTCATCATCGTCCTGCACACCGCAGACGGGGACAAGAAGTGGGTGAAAGCGGGCATCGAGTTGACGCACGGCAAGCCGCATCTCAGCGTGGTGGCGAAGGACCGATTTGCGGATTGGAGTTTGTTTCCTGTGCCGTCGGGTGGGGGTGCGGCGACGCTGGAGATGGTTCGGGAGGAGGATGGGAGTTTGTGGATTTATTTGATTGAGGGGGTGTCGAAGGCGCCGATTCGTGAGGTGACGTGGGTTTTTGAAGAAGAGGGGGTGAAAGAGTGTTGGGTTGGGGTTTATGCAGCGAGGCCCGGGGATGTTGGGGGAGAGTTGGAGGTTAATTTTGGTCATTTGATTGTTGAGTAGGGAGAGTAGGGGATGTACTAGTGTGCTGGCAGGTGGTGCTGGATAAAAGTATGATCAATTCTTGACTGTTATGTAGTATACGTGTATACTATGATGCTGCTAGTAGTAAATGTAGATCTCTCTAATAGTACTACTATTTCTATCTGCCCCGCTCCTCCAGGTCTACCCTGGGGTAGTAGACTCTAGATCTAGATTCTAGACTGTAGCTAAGCATAAGCTGTGAGTCTACTTGAGTCTACTTAAGTCTAGTTCGGCCAAGAGATGGAGTGCATGATCGACGTAGGGTCGAGCTGCACGCGAGACTGGCGCAAATCATGCCTGGCGCGCCACGGAGATGGCCGGCGATCAAGTGGATCTACCGGGTGGTGTATACGTGGGAGGACAGACTCGGACAGATGATTGGGAGTGCAACCCCTCCTATGGACTACTCACTGAGTACTGATACGACGGTGTGTGAGGAGATCAGTGAATTGCCACGTGCGCGAGCATAGTGCCAGTGGTTATATTTACTGTTCCATAACTATAGTACAGCAGCTGCTATATAATATGATAGTATGATAATATGCTCCTAGCATGCTAAACTCCAGTAGTATAATAGTAGTATACTACTACTACTACTACTACTACTACTACTACTACTACTACTACTACTACTACTACTACTACTACTACTACTACTACTACTACTACTACTACTACTACTACTACTACTACTACTACTACTACTACTACTACTACTACTACTACTACTACTACTACTACTACTCCTCATGTAAGCTAGCTTACTACATACTCGACCCACCCGACCAGGTTTGTTTGGAACCGACGAACCAAGGCCCTGGTTAACATCTTATCGATCAATCATATCTGATGGACTGGTCCTGTTTCAGACTCCCTACTCCGTACTCCGTGTAGTATTCGCCTCTTCTCTCTCCTTGCTCAAGTCACACCACTCCACTCGACTCCGCCAGCCAACTTCCGAGTCTCCGAGCCCATTCATTCTCACCCCACCACCCCCGTGCCTGACGTATCCCCACTCTTTTTCAGCTTTTTCATTCATCTTCATCTCCATCCTCGTTCTGCGCTGCTTTCCTTGCTCACTCATTGCCCATTGCATTTCCCTCTCTCTTTTTGGCACACTCCGATCTCTGACACTGCTTTCCTCCCTCGGGAATGCTGAGTTCGGACCGCGCCCTATCACTCCCTAAGGATTCCCCATCTTCGTGCATAAGTGCGACCGACGATCCTACAACCTGTCCTCGCCCACGTACGAGTACGGGTACTCCATAACCTGATTCGATTCCGATCCCATTTCCCCTTACAGCCACATACTTCCCTTCACGCGGATCTATCCATCATTCCCCGTTCTCACCTTGTCTGGCCCTATTAAGAGCACTGTCTGCCTCGTGGAGACAACTGGAGACCACTGGAGACCGACTCTTTCGAGCATAGCCTCATACACTTCCCTTCATGCTTTTTCTCGTCTACCGCGCTTGCCATTCTATTTCTTCCTCCGACGCGGCCCCATCCGTTTTTGTTTGCTTTTTTCTCATTTGATTCCTGAATTTTGATTTGATTTTTTCCCGCGCGCATCGCCCTGATTTGCTACTCTCGCTTCTCGTGTTTGCTTTTCCTTCTTGTACGCTGACCTGACTGGCTCAGCTCGCCCCCAAAGGGGACCACCAGGCAGCCTGCCGGTGCCCAAGCGGTGTTGACTCAAGCTGAATCCTCGCTTCTGTCCCCCTCCCCTTTTATTAGTTGAGACGCCCTTTCACTGTCATATGTTGCATGAACTCTTTTCGATGATCTCCCTTGTTCTTCAAGATCGCCCACTTACTTTGTCTTCAAGTTCTTCATTCCTGCACTCCTCGGCTGGATGGACGCCTTGACCTCGCCCTTCTTCTCGTGATCACATAAGATACTACCCTGGGGGACTGGTGCCTCTCCTCTAACACTCCAAAATGCCTCTCCTTGATCCTCGCTCCAGTCCGTCCTACGGCGCTATTGAACAGGAGCATGACTGTGACACTCATAGAGATCAGGAACGAGATCGTCTGTTGCAAGATGAGTACCACTACCAAACCGACGGAGAGGACAGTGAGATCTCATCGCTGGACGAAGCGCAAGAAGGAGTGCGCAAAATCGAAGCCATCAATATGACTTGGACTACTCGGTCGTTGATTATTGCCTACGTCAGGTTCGTGTGGCTTGCAGCGCCCTGCCTTTAATAATCACCCCCCCCCCCCTCCTCCTCCCCTTTCCCCGCTAATTATGGCGTAAAGTATATTCTTGATGGCCTTTTGCACTTCTCTCGAGAGTCAGACTGTCATGTCCTTGGTGCCTTATGCGACGAGCGCATTTAGCAAGCATTCGTTGATTTCCACCGTCCTCGTGGTGCAGAATGTAGTCAATGGTAAGCTTACACTTGATGCGGTGCTACATGGCATCATCGGCCAAAAAGCAGAAATAAATGCCCAGATGTAATTCTACTTGTTGTCATGTTCCCCGCTAAACTTTATATGACTTGCAGCCGTTATCAAACCACCCATGGCAAAGATCGCCGACGTCTTCGGTCGCTTCGAAGCTTTCTGTGTGAGCATTCTGATCTACATCTTGGGTTATGTGCAGATGGCCTCCTCCACCAATGTCCAGACCTACGCCTCCGCTCAGATCTTCTACTCCGCCGGCTCAACGGGTCTGCAGATCTTGCAACAGGTGTTCATCGCCGACAGCAGTGACTTGCTGAACCGTGCTTTTCTGGCTCTTCTCCCCGAATTTCCATTCCTGATCACCGTATGGCTTGGTCCAACTATTGCCGGGGCCGTCCTTCGCTCAACATCGTGGCGATGGGGGTATGGTATGTGGGCAATAATCCTGCCTGCGGCCTTCTTACCTCTCGCTCTTTCATTGCTTCTGAATCAGCGCAAAGCCCGAAGATTGAATCTGATCAAGTCTTCTCGCAAAAAGCGGAGACGCAGCGTTTTCGCTATCATGAGACGCACTTGGTATGACCTGGATGTCGGCGGTTTGAGCTTGCTCTCCGCTGCGGTCACTCTGATCCTTGTGCCTTTGACTTTAGCAGCCAGTGCTAAGAATGGATGGATGAATCCCAGCATTATTACGATGATGGTAATCGGACTCGTGTGTCTGGTCATCATGCCATTTTACGAAACTTCTAAGAAGCTCGCGCCCAAACCATTACTTTCTCTGCATCTTCTTAAACAGAAAACGGCTCTTGCAGGTTGCTTTCTCGCATTCTGGTACTTCAGTACGTCCACCACCACCACCACCACCACCCTTCCATAAATTACCCCCAACTAACCAACACCGACAGTGGCATTCTACTTCTCCGTCCAGCCATACCTCTACTCCTACCTCCAAGTTGTCCAAAACTACGACGTCGCGACAGCCGGTCGCGTCACACAAACATTCGCCTTCACCTCAACAATAGCCGCCTTCAGCGTCTCCCTCCTGATAAAATACACGCGCCGCTACCGAATCTTCGTAACAATCGGCTGCGTAATCTACATGACAGGCCTAATCCTGATGCTAACCTACCGGACCGCAAACGCCTCCCACGCCCAAGTCCTCTTCACGCAAATCCTAGTCGGCTGTGGCGGAGGCCTCCTAAACGTTCCCGTCCAACTAGGCGTCCAAGCCTCAGCAAGCCACCAAGAAGTCGCCGCCGCAACAGCCATGTTCCTCACATCGATGGAACTAGGCGGTGCCATCGGCGCGGCCATCTCCGGCGCTGTTTGGACCCATTCCATCCCAGCGAAACTCCTGAAATACCTACCCGCAGAAAGCCAACCCGCCGCCGCGGAGATCTTCGGAAGTCTCGCTAAGGCGTTGGAATATCCTGTCGGTTCGCCGACTCGCATCGCTATCAATCGCAGTTATCAGGAGACGATGAATCGGCTGCTCACTCTCGCTGTTATTGCTACTTTGCCGCTTATCCCGCTCAGTCTTGTCATGGAGAATTATAAGCTGGATAAGGTGAGAGATCGACTCCCTTCTGATGAGTGTGCGCGTGAGAATGGTAAACAGGACTAACATATCTACCCTGAAAGATGAGTCCGAAGAGTCAGAATGAAGAGGATTCCCCATTGACCGTCGTCGACCCGGAACCCGAGTCGGAAGACTCCCATTCGAAGCGCACTTGATTCGCCTTGCCTTCCTTTCTGCCTGTCTGCCTGCCTTTTCGATCTGATGATATTTCGCACCATATACCTGCAACTGCATACTTGCATTACAGCCCAGCACAGCGAAAACACGCACGTAACGACTAAACGACCCTCGAATTTCCGGAGCATTTACTTTTCCCCCTTCCCCTTATCTATCTTTGATCTTTTTGCTTTTCTTTTATCCATTTGCATCTTACAGATCAACAAGCCGGCGTTTTCATTGTTCGGGACAAGAGCGAGTCGGTACATCCTTCTATACCTGGGATTTCGTGGGCTAGATTTAAGCCCCGTTTGTCCATTCCATTCCATTGCATCTGGCGTTGTTACTTTAGCTTCCATTCTTAACTTGATCTGATCGATACCTTTGTTTTTTGTTTTTTTTTTCTCGGGGCTTTTTTGTAGACGCACTACTAGCAAGAATGCTCCGTCTTCGATAGATTTGAATTCAAAAGGAATATCTCCTCCACCCATGAACTTGAACTTGAACTTGAACTTGAACTTGAACTTGAACTTGAAGTAGCTACTGAGACGGGCCAGGGTTAGAGCGGATGAAAGAAAATCACGCCGCGACTCGGATTCGTGCTCGGACCAGCAGCACTGGCATTGGCACTAGATACGAATCATTTTGAGTCACGGTGTTAATCGTGGCATTAGGACCTTGCGAAACATTTTGTCTTCTCTTCCTTTTTTTTTCTTTTCTTTTTTTACACTGCCTAGGTGGTCATAGCCCTATCGTTACCAGATGTCTTGTCTATTCAGATCTCATCTCCGAGGAGATAGGAAATTCGGTCTATTCGGGCCGAGACTGCAATGTGCCGATACTGTCGGGTAGCGTGCAGTTGGCAGTGCGCGTGACTGACACGATACCAAGCAAAGTAGAAGAGATCAAGAAAGCTCATCTCTTCTGGCACTCCATTTACATCTTGAAGGTATGAAGAAGAGTACTTTTGTTAGGTTAGGACATGGGGTAAGGGGTTGTGTAGTAGATATGTATCAGCCACCGAGGCTTTCTAAATGGATAGATCCAATAACATGGGGAAATCTACACCTGCTCGTACTTTTGTATGCCCTGCATGTACTGTACATGTGTACTTCCTTTGCTGGATCCGAGTTCTCTGCGGGTGTGCTGTGTGTATGCTGTTACTAGTCTAGGATTGAGTTGTCCCTGGACTCGACTTGAAGGCGGCACTCGCATTAAATGTTCCTCGGCCACACAGCGTTGAGCATGTATCGCTGCCTAAGATAGGTTTAAGTTTAAGGCAATCAATCAATCACTAAGATGTCTGTTGCTATACGGAGTAATCATTCTCGATTCAACTGAGGCCAAATCCTGTGGGTTACCATGCACGGAATATAACTGGTATCCAGGACTAATTCAAATAACCCCTGAGAGCCTAATACTAACAGTTCCTGCGATGGCTCAGGGCCGGGATGTTATGTTTGTTAATTACGTAGACTTGCTCCGCTGTGAAGTGAAGTATACATGCTTAGTACACTCTACCCTATTCTTCCCTTATTCTTATCATGATCATCATCTCTATGATGGGAACCCTTGGAAGGGTCCCATTATGCGCAGATAAAGTACCGCTTAGACCACCTCTCCCGCCCCAACCCAATTTAGCCTCGCCAACTCACAGGATAAGCTCGATGTCAGCCAGCAAGCTCTGAATTGGCGCTGCAGGTACCTGCATAATCGCTGCATGCAGGTATACCAGATGCTTCTCCGGAGGGATGGGTAATGCCAGTGCTACTCCGTAGCACTGGCATAGCACTGGCAGGACTAGTAATGGAGGGAGTGGGGACTCATTCTACACCAGGAGGGCCTGAGGGTCGCGTAATTCTAAATCCACTGGAGGAAGTGAAAGGCTAAATAACGGGTGCAGCGGTGGAATGGGACCCAATCCCGGACTCGATGGAGTCCGGGGTGAAACGGCGAAGATGAAATAATGAAATATAGGGGGTGGAAGAGTGATGGAACTAGCTTGGAACGGCCCGCCATTAATACATCAAAGAGGTACAGCGAGCAGTATAGTATTGAGACTGGCTACTAGTATCAGTGTATGAGTAGTATGTTAGTAGCATAATATAAGTAGATACTAGTTATAGAACACTGAAGTAATAACTAGTAATAGTCAAATAGCAGTAATACTCGTATGGTTACCTGGTTGATTGTCTGATGGGCCGCTTCTGAATTCTAGAAGACGAAGACCGAGTGGACCACGGCGCTTAGCCGACACAGTTCGCCATGAGTATTGGGAGATGGTAATAGGACAATATTAGTATACTATTCAAGTTAATGTAGAATGATGTTCTAATATAAATATAAATATACTATTAGTATTATTGTAAATACTATAATTAATGCTAGCACTGAAATATACAGTATAAAATATAAAATACAGACTACTGCCACTGCCACTGCGTATGGTAACCAGCGGTACCAAGTAGTACGTCTAGACCACTCTCGTGCCCCATTCAATCCAAACCACAGCTCTTCCTCCCTTTTTGTCTCCCACAACCCTTTTCTCCTCTCCTACCACTCCCTCCATCTTTCTAATCCATCCTATCCGTCGAAATCATGGTTGTCGCTACCATCAAGTGCGCTCCCCTTCCCTGCCGAACCCCTCTCCTTGGCTAACCCCGACTGCAGATGTGTCGTAGTGGGGGACGGTGCTGTCGGAAAGACCTGTCTGCTCATCTCCTACACAACCAACAAGTTCCCTTCGGAATATGTCCCCACCGTCTTTGACAACTATGCTGTGACTGTGATGTAAGTTCATCCGATCTCTTGCACCGAGTGGTGGCCGCAGCGGTGGCCGCAGAAGCAGCAGCAGCACCACCACCAGAACGAGACCGCGAGAGCCTCTTGGGCCTCTCGGTCCTCCAGCAAATATCCCGCTGACCCTCCTTCAGGATCGGCGATGAACCCTACACCCTTGGCCTCTTCGATACTGCCGGACAGGAAGATTACGATCGCCTGCGTCCGTTGTCCTACCCCCAGACCGACGTTTTCCTCGTCTGCTTCTCCGTTACCTCCCCCGCCTCCTTCGAAAACGTCCGTGAGAAGTGGTTCCCCGAAGTCCACCACCACTGCCCCGGTGTCCCCTGCCTGATCGTCGGTACCCAGACCGATTTGCGCGATGACCCCAACGTCCGCGACAAGCTCGCCCGCCAGAAGATGCAACCTATTCGTAAGGAGGATGGCGATCGCATGGCAAAGGAGCTCGGTGCTGTCAAGTACGTTGAGTGCTCTGCTCTGACGCAGTACAAGCTGAAGGATGTCTTTGACGAGGTAGGTGGTGATCTTTTGCATTATTTCCAGTTATTTACTCCCCCTGGATATTCCCATTCCTATCCCCCCCTGTATTTTCGTGCTCGTTACCCATTCTCTCCTTTCTTTCTTTTTCTTTTTTTTTGCTATCACGTTCCCGTCACCCCTGGGCGCCAAAGCTCGGACTTGCGCCCGATACGTCTTGGTCGATGTCCACTCCCCGCCAGCTGTACACCGCTAACTCGCTCCTTTTCCCTGACAGGCCATCGTTGCCGCCCTTGAGCCGGCACCTAAGAAGAAGTCACGCGGCTGCCGCCTGCTGTGATCGCGCACCTCGAACGCCTTTTTTCGGCAGGTTGGTCGACCACCGCATAGCCTTTGAGCGCGATGTAACAGGGGTCAACCAACCGATCCGAACTTTCAGATACGACGGAATGAAACCTACCTGTGTTGTTTTTTTTATTTTCTTATTTGGGGAGGCAAGCCTGGCTGGTTCGGTTATGACTGGGATATCCACATGCAACAAGGAAAAGAGGAGCGGGACTCTTGTTTATTGAGCTAGCGTTGCAACCTGAAAGCATTTCGCACTATCCGTGTTCTCCGAGTTCTCTTCTCCACGATCATGATCCACCGGCTATCCACTAGCCAGTGGTTCTGCTGCCTAAGGTCGTCTGAAACTTGGTTTGCTGGAGTGATCGAGATGAGCTCCGGGTCAATCTGCACTGCTTGTCCATGCAAGATCCCCTCCTCTCTTCTCCGATGATCGTTGCTTGCGATGGTCCCTGGGAACTGAGTTGGCCTGGTTTGTCCTTAACCCCCATGTTATTCTCTGTTTTCGCTTCAGCTTCGCCCGTCCGCGTCCACCTGTCTCCCTGCGGATCTCGATTTGACTCTTTCCAACACCCCCCTTTAACAACAACTCACCATCCTCTCCTTCACGAACTCCAGCGATATCACCCCTACTACTATTACCATTCTCCTGCCCTCCGCGATCCCGCATTCCCCTCCTGTTTCCACCCGTTTTCATCGTCTCGGTGTTGGACGTCAGGGCGTCGTGATTGTTTTGGCTGATGATTTCCGTCCTTGTTACTCCTCCTCTTCCTACATCATCCATCCATCCACCCCCCTTTACTTCTTCCACGCTTCGTCTTATCTTTTTTTTTTCTTATTGATCACGCCTATTTGGACAATACCATCAAGTTTGAGCTTGCTGTTTAGCTCGAATTCGATGTTCCCTGCATGCGGTTTTCTCCATACTCTTCATTTCTCTGCTCGATGCTTCCGCTTTTTTTTTCTTCCAAGATACAAGCATTTGTCCCGCTATCTACTATTATATGCTCTATTCTGTCTGTTCTGCCATGCTCTGCTCTATCCTGCTTATGCACCTTTTATTTTTATTATCCGATCGGAGAGCAAAGCAAAATCAGCCTGGATCTTAGAACGTTGCAGACAGGACTCACAATTGACAAGTTCTTTGATGATCTGAATACTTGTAGACTGTTCACTGTGCGGCTGATGTTAGGCTTGAATTTGGACTTGGACTTGGAGTGAACCAATAGTTCAATTAACCAGGGAGGTCCAGGTCAATCAATGCCGTGCATTATCAATACACAGTGGACTATTGTAAATTTGAATAGATGGGATGAACAGCAGGCCACTGAGACCTGCAAGTTTCCAAGGCTATTAGTATATACTCCTTCCTCGCGCTGACAGAACATAAAATATCATTTGGGCATTCATTCATTCTTTTATACTATCATACTACAATCATGTGTCTCATCTCATATGCAACCTGTACAACCCACACTTGAAACTCACAGCTCATCACGAGTAACCTCCTCAGCAGACTTCGCCTCCGCCTCAGCAGTCTCACCATCATACAAACGACCATACCAACCACCCAAATCCTCCTTAACACCCGACTTGACCATGCTAGTAATAATTTCAAAAGCAACCTGAGCCGCTGCAAGAGCCGTAGTCTCCCCCTTATTATCATAAGCAGGCGAGACCTCAACAATATCCGCACCAACAAGGTTAAGCTTCTCCAAACCGCGCAGGATACGAATAAACTCGCGCGTAGTCCAACCACCCGGCTCGGGGGTACCAGTTCCAGGCGCAGTCGACGGATCCAAAACATCAATATCAACCGAGAGATAAACAGGCTGTTCAGGATCAAGACCAGTGCGAGCAATAATAGTCTCAACAACACCCATAGGACCAAGCTCATCAATATCATCAGCATGAATCCGAATAAATCCCTGCTCAGGACCGGGGTTCGTATAATCCCCCGCATCAACACCAGTCAAGCGCGTGCGCAGTCCCGCATGCGCAGAGGTGGTGTTGGAAATCAGTCCCTCCCGACTAGCCTTGTGAAAGAAACTGCCGTGATTGAACTGCGTCTGCTCACTCTGCCAATACGAAGAGTATCGGACCGGATTCCACGTATCGAGATGCGCATCGAAATGCAGAACCGTAATCGGCTTCTGATAAATCTGATACAAGGCACGCAGAGCGGGGAGAGCAACGCTGTGATCACCGCCCAGAGTGACGAGCTTCGGGTGGCCGGTGCCAATGCTATCGCCGCCCTTGGGCGCGACGTTGACGGTCTTGCGCGAACCAAGCTCCAGGAAGGCTTCGTACATTTGGCGCTCGGCGAGTCCATTGTCGAAGGGGGTGATTGGGATGTCGCCGCAGTCGGTGATCTTGGCCCAGGATTTGTAGGGGTTTATGCCGGCGCGGGTGTTGAAGCTTGTTCCGGACATTTGGCGGGCGCTGGCGGCGCGAATGGCGCGGGGTCCGAAGCGAGCGCCTGTTTTTTAAAAGGAAGGATTAGTTGGCTTTCTGGAAGGATCAAGCTGTAGGTATTATAGGATATAACATACCGGGTCGGTAGCTGACGGCCGTGTCGAAGGGGGCGCCAATAACGGCGATATCATAGTTCTCGCTCGGCTCGATCAAGCACTTGACCGGGTTGAGGTGGGCAAAGCTGGCAATGCCGGAGAAGGACCACTAGAAAATTGTTAGAATGGCTTGTACGATTAAGCTCCAAATTGACTGTCACACATACCTCCTGATCCCACTTCTTCAGCAACTCCTCGCGTTCATGTTCGGGGACGACCTCGGTATCGCCGTGGTGGGCGCAAGAGATAGCACCACCGGTCAGCGCCAGCAGGCTGACAAGGGACTTCCAGGCGGGCATTGTGAGAAAATAAAGCAAGTGACACTTAATCTGGAGAGAAAACAGAAAGAAGAAGGGAAAGCTGGGATATAAAGTGGTTCATGGTGGTGAATTCTCCTGTCAACTTCCTAATCGGCGTGGACATCGAAAGGGAAGGACCAACAGATGCGCCCCGCTGGGATCCGCCAGTCCGCCAGTCCGCACTTCCACTTCGTCCAGACTTTCCCTTCTTGGCTGAACCACTTCTGCACTGCACTGCACTGCACTGCACTGCACTGCTTTGCTTTGCTTTGCTTTGCTTCGCACTGCTTCGTATCTACTTCATAGCAATTGCAATTGCTCCCGCTACTGCTGTACAACTCAATTGCTGTCATGCGCCGTGTCGTCGTGACAGGCTTGGGCGCGGTGACTCCGCTAGGCGTAGGTGAGTTCTACACAATCCACTACATCATGGCAGCTTCACCCTCTCTTCCCCACCTCTTGCACCCTATCTGTCTATCGGGCCAGCCGAGCATGCACTTCTGCTGGCATTGACGGCACCGACATGGACTACCTGCATCCCATCCGCCGACACCGCATCCCCGGACTTTTCGCCGCAAAAAAACTGCCCGGCGTCTCCACTTGGCCGGATGGGGAAGGTCTTGTCAACCAATGACGGCATGCCGAGGGGGGTATCTATCCTATCTAAAACTGGGGAGGGGGAGAGCTTGGGGTCTACTGCAACTTCAACACAGGCGATAAGGCCATGTGCCTTTCCTTCGGCTGGAGCTAACACTTTCGGATACAGGCCTGCGCCGAACATGGAAGCGATTGCTGGATGGCCACTGCGGCATCGTCAATGTTACTGATCGTGACGAACGCTTCAAGGAAGTCCCTTGTCAGATTGCCGCTGTCGTGCCCAAAGGCAGTCGCAAGGATGGGGGGTGGATGGCGGAGGAGTGGTTGAGTCGAGGGGTGCGTATTTCTTGCTACTGCTGCTGCTGCTGCTGCTGCTGCTGCTGCTTCTTACCAGTAGTGTGCATTGACACTTATTCAACTAGGACGAACGCAAGATGGCTCTTTTCGCGCAATACGCCATGGCTGCTACGGAAGAGGCCTTGGAAGATGCTGGTTGGAAGCCGGAGCCTTTTGAGCAGCGAGAAGCGACGGTATGTACCTTGATTAGCTTAGTAGCTTTGAGCTTGCCTCGAGTATACTGGGGAGAAGTCATACTAATGGTCTGTGCAGGGAGTCTGTCTAGGATCCGGAATCGGTAATTTCGAGGAGATCTATAACACTGTCATTGCATACGACAAAGGAGTGAGTCTCCATTCCTAACTTGCTGCATCCCTCATAAAAAATGCGTTTTTTAACACTAACCAACTCGGCTCAGGGTTACAAAAAAGTCAGCCCCCTCTTCGTTCCCAAGCTGTTGATTAACCTAGGTGCGGGCCATATATCTATGAAATATGGATTCATGGTACGAACACACACACCTTTCCCAGGAAAGAATTAAAAATAATCGCACACATCACTTACACACAACTTCCAGGGCCCAAACCATTCCGCAACAACAGCTTGCACCACCGGCGCACACTCCGTCGGCGACGCAGCCCGCTTCATCGCCTGCGGAGACGCAGACGTGATGGTAGCCGGAGGCGCCGAGTCATGCATCCACCCCCTCGCCATTGGAGGATTCGCCCGGGCCCGAAGTCTGGCGACTGATTTTAACGATAATCCAGAGAAAGCATCCAGACCCTTCGATGCAGATCGTAAAGGTTTCGTCGTTGGCGAGGGTGCCGCCGTGCTTATTCTCGAGGTGAGTAGTGCATCTCACCCAATATTTGTCTCCCCACATCACTTACAACAGTACTACCACCAATAGGAACTCGAACACGCCCGCGCCCGTGGCGCAAGAATCTACGCCGAAGTCAAAGGCTACGGCTGTTCCAGCGACTCGCACCACATGACAGCTCCCAAAGAAAACGGCGAAGGCGCATACATGGCGATGAAGAAAGCGCTCAAACAAGCCCAACTCCCACCCTCCGCGGTAGATTATGTCAATGCGCACGCAACTTCTACGATCGTGGGCGATGCTGCTGAGAACGCCGCTATCAAGTCGCTTCTCCTTGGCCCGGGTGGTAAAGAGAAGGCGGAGAATGTGAATATTAGCAGTACCAAGGGTGCTGTGGGGCATCTTCTCGGTGGCGCTGGCGCTATCGAGGCTGCTTTTAGTGTGCTTGCTATTCAAGATGTGAGTTGAACCGTCCCAAGTATTACCTTGTGCTTAAGCTGGGCTTTGTTCCTTGGGGGGGGATTGGTTGGGCTGACGCTTTTTAGAATGTTATGCCGCCTACTATCAACCTGGATCGATTAGCGAGTGGGTTTGACTGCAATTATGCGGCTAATGAGGCTCAGTCGAGGAAGATTGATGTGGTTTTGACGAATAGTTTTGGGTTTGGGGGGACTAATAGTAGCTTGTGCTTTGTTCGGCACGATTGATTGGAAGAATAGGTGTAATGTACGATATTAATGGAAGATGCTTCAGGTTTTTCTGGCATGCTCAATTGATGACGGAGTTCTCTCTTACAATAACTACCATGCTACAAAGAATTGGTTATACTTCCAGTTGCCGGCATAGCAAGGTAAGGTAACCCTAGCTATGCTTCTATCTCAATTTACGATACATTGGGATTTCTTGGCCCTAGGCTCTTCCCCTTGAAGATACCACCAGTCTCTCCATCTCCTCATAACAGTCCGATAACACTGACCTCGTAAAAGAGACAGGTTCTGCCGAAACATCTGCTCCTTCGATAAAAATTGAGAAGAAGTACTCCCCGACCCATCGGATTGCTCCTCGAGGCGTCTGCTTGGGATCTTCTACCATATCACTGGCTTTCAATGTCCTCGGAAGAACCCGGTCTGCCTGGCTTCTCCACAGATCATTTTGAGGGATCAAGCCTGGTCCTAAGTCCTATCATTGTGTTAAAAGCAAGCACACATCCTTTCGATCATCGATCTCCCGAATTACCATTTTCCACGCCGTGTTGCATTGGCCACATCTTCCCCGGCGCAGAAGTTGGTCCTCCTCATTTCCTTTTTCTTCTTGGAGATATGTGTCGACAAGGGATTCTATGACACCGGCAAAATTGCCTTAAGCAGTCCCAATATGCTTACAGATATCGAGTCGTATAGTTCAACTGGTCATGCTGATTCACTCAGTGGGGTTTGTCAGTGAGGCCTTATGCTTAAGGCATCTCCACATGCCGCGTACGATGACATTTACCAGTAGTATAAAAATCTACTATCGTACAAGGGATGCATTAATAGGATAGGAAAGACCAGAAACACAAGATAGTAAAATGGCCTGCCTGCCAGAATCCCAAAGGCGCTCTACCAGCAGGGTATAACGTGTTTAATGGGTTATCCGGCCACCCGTGTAAGCCGGCCACTCAAAACACCATACTAAAAGCGATAAATTACAATTCGATATCTCAACATCTATAGTAATTAAAACCTCAATATTGAAGTTCTGTGACCGCTGTTATACCCCTATCACAAAAATATAGAAAGTAATAACATAGGCATATATCCATGGATAGTACCTAGGTATGCAGCTAAATATGCTTATCTTCGATGAAATATATATATCACGATGTGTTGAATGGCAATATAGTAGAATAGTTAATAAAATTAATGAAATTAGTTCAAATTAAACTATATTGTTCTATATCGTTGAGCACGAATACTGGATAATATATAGCCTTAAAAAGGTATGGCTGTTGAAATATCGAATTATATAAAATATCGCTTTTATGGTGTTCTTGGGTGGCCGGCTTGCACGGGTGGCCGGATAACCCATGAAACACGTTAGTACTAGTACTACCTAGAATTACTACTTGTCCAAGGTTTAGATTCTGGTTTAAGACTCGAATGCCTGGAAGGCTTTCCAAGACTTGCTCAAAGTATGCAAGGGGTCCTATAACATTTCTGCAATCAACACAAAAACCACCCTGAGATTTTCAAAATATATGCAAGTTCCTGGTGTGCCTCTTTACTATGACGACGGATCACTTACGGGAAACACGTGACCCAGTCCCAAATGCGGAGCCCCAGCCCGACCGTCGACGACGGACATCGAAGTGAACAACCACCCCGACAACCACCCTGGCACGACAAGAATTCTACAGAGAGTGCCAGAGAGAGAGAGAGATCCGCTGCGCCAGGGCAATTACAGCACTTGCGCTCATCATGACGACTAACGGCGACTCCAGTCGAGGTAGGCCCGCCACCGCAACCCTTTGATGGGAAAGCGTGACTATGAACCGCGCCTGATCAGGGCCGGCAAGATTGAAAGATGGGATGGCTAACATTTCTCTCCGACTAAACAGCCTCGGGCAATTTGGTCGAGGCGTCGGGCTACAAGTTTACAGAAAAGGATACCAAACCCGGCAAGATGAAGGTGAAGAAGACATCTAAGGGCTCGACGAAGAAGAAGGCAGATGGTACGTTCGCTTTTGGCACAGGATGCTGGCTGTCTGGCTAGCTTTTAATTGGAAAGGGGACACGAGCTTACCTGTGGTTCTTTTTTTTTTTTTTCAGATAGCAAGGATGGTCCCCTCGATACCTCGCCTACTTCCTCACCACTGCCCAAATTGGACGATAAGATCGCCGCCTCTTTCCCGACGGGTAAACCGCGTGAGCAGGACTTGCTGGAAACGGTTATATGCAAACATTGCAAGCGCCCCGCGCTCAAGTCCAGTGCGCCGGAGCACATTCGTGGCTGTCTGAAAGCGAAGCAGGAGAAAGCGCGCAAGAAGAAGGAGGCGCGCGACGCGGCGAATCGAGCCAAGGCCGGTGATGTGGGCGATATCGACGAAAAAGATGGGCCAGAAGATTCGATGAAAGGCCAGAAGAGTGCGAAGAAGAGTGCTGTCAAGGGCACCGAAGATGGGACGAAGAAGGGAAAGAAGCGCAAGGCGGACGAAGATGATACCAAGCCCAAGAAGAAGAAGAAGGATGAGCCCAAGGCGAAGGCGGCTAAGCCTAAGGGGCCTGTCGATGTCGAGAAGCAGTGTGGTGTCACATTGCCCAATGGTGCTCAATGCGCGCGCTCGTTGACATGTAAGAGTCACTCGATGGGCGCGAAGCGTGCAGTGCCGGGTCGGTCTTTACCATATGATATGCTACTACAGCAATATCAGAAAAAGAACCAGGCTCGACAGCAGAGTATGTGTTCCCCCCTACTTCTCCCGTCTTTGACTACAGAGAACGTTTGGACTAATATGTTTTATTCTTACTTACAGAGGCTGCTATCGACGCCAATGCTCCGCTGCAAGAAGATTTGGAAACAAGCGGGCCCGTTGATTCAGACGAAGAACGAGATTCCGTCATGGCGGCCATTGCCCGATCCGCGCCCAAACCCATCGCTGAACATACCCTCATCACCTCTAAGACCAAGTATAGATACGTCCGGATCAAAGAGCAGATGCAGCATGCCATCGGTGGTCGAGGTGGCGGCTCTCTCTTCTCTACCGACGACAGCCAGCCATCCTCTCTGTTCGGCGGCGGAAATCTGTTTTCGCCATTCGATAGTGTTGTCGATACCACCTCATCCCCCGTCATTGGGTCCATGGACCCAAATGATCAAACTTCACAGGCTGCTCGCAAAACCCCAGTGGCGGCGGCTTAAGGGGTATGAGTGTGATAGATATGATTTACGACTTTATTCGGCATTTGGTTCTTCTCGTTGGTGGAATGCAGACGTTGGCGTTTAGGGGCGCTGGATGCTCACGCATAACTTCTTATTGGCATTGTGGCCGGTTTTTTTTTTTTTTTTTTTCGATCCGATACTTGCGGGTTGGGTGTGGAACAGGCTGGTTCTGTTAGGTTCGGTGATAACATGATACCCCGGTTGGTGTGACTCGCTATGCGAGTGTTTCAATGCATTCCTTTTCATCTCTTTTACCTTATAGCATATTGATGCTACCGTACTCTTATGCAATGGCTACGGGGTGATATTCGTCCTAGCAGGTAGAAGTGGCATATTGGATCTTATTTTCCAAGGTTAACGCATTAAATTCTGGCAGGCGATACATTATTATTTTGAGGCCAAGGCAAGCTATGCAGTTACTAGTAGTTTAGCTGTTCTCGTCATAAATGGTTACTTGGACGCGTCCTTCCCATCACCAGTAGAAGGAACACCATGCATCTTAAAAAAGGTCAGAGTAAACCCCTAAAAGGAGAGAAAGGTGAACATACCGTCTCGGCAAACCGCACCCATTCCTCCACACCTTTAACATAGACATCATCCGCCGCAGGCAAATGCTCATGTCCCCAGATCATCATATCTTCAAAGGTACCCTGTGTCTCGAGGATCTTGACCGATTCCTCAGGTTGAACTTCGACGACGTCTTCATTTTGGTCGAATGATTGCGAAGGAGGGAGAATACGCTCTGTTGGTGTTGCGATGACGCCTGTCCACGAGTTATTTGTAAGTTCACACCCCCGTAAAGTGTTCAGAAATGAGGATTGCCTGGCTGCGCACCTTGGTATCCATCTGGAACTGCAACGCGCCGGCCACGCAGTCTGCGGCCACGATAATGTGCGGTCTCAATATTGTCTGATCCATTTATCAATCAGTATATTTACGGCTTTTCAATGCCTGTGCGAGTGGATATGGTTGGAACGGCAGAACTGTCCGTACCTTTCTCGTCCGTCTTCGGCGCCCAGAATCGCCCGGCGGGCTCGATGGGTCCATCATGATGAATTCGGCAGGGGAGAATGTTGGGTGTGAATGTTGCGCCAGAGGAGCCTTCTTCTGACTGTGCACCTGGCTTTGAGGCCGATTGGAAGGCATACATGTCTGGCATGGTGTCGCGAGCTGTGATCGCCCCGCGGAGCTAGGTGGTCGATGGGTGTGGTATAGATATTTGGCAAGATGCAGTTGTTTGGCGATCGACCGAAGTGAAAGTTAAACTGGCTTGACTTGGGTGTGTCGCGAGGGTATTGAAGTTGTGTAGTTCTTTGCGTGGTCGAAAGGCGCGTCGCGCTGCGCGTTAAGTGGAATTGGGCGGAGAGCGGACAGTCGCTACACTTCTAGTGTTATACAATTACTTGAACACACACGTTGCTCAATTCTTTACTTTCAACTTAGGAAATGATTATTTTCATACAATTATACTCTATAGTATTGGTCATATATGTCAAATTCTAATGCAATTCTTCAACTGGATGCGAATTGGGGTATACATGTGCACCTCAAGGGTATTTAGATACAGTCTCGTCTCGTCTCGCTTCGCCTCATCAGGCCGGCACCAAGTAATAAAGAAGATCAGCGCTTCTTCTTAGTCGACTTCTTCTTTTTCTTCTTTTTCTGCCCATCCACCTTTTCTCTATTTTCAGTATTCGCCCGGATCGGCCACTTCTTCAAATGCTCCCGCTCAAACGAGTCCTTCTCTCTCCTATACAAAGCCATTGTCGCCCGAGCATCCTCCACACTAGAATGCGCCCCTTCCTGAATCTTCAACCCAAGGAAGTGCTCCGCAAGAATCTTCAGTCGGGGGGGATCCACCGCCGGCAATTTTCCGGTATTCCGCGTGCTTGCTTGTATCACGAATATCACGCTTCGGGTGAGCAAACATCAAGGCATCGAGGTCGTTGCTCACGGCGTGACCGACAAGAACCCGTCCTTCCATGATCCCGTATACCTCTTTCTGGACTGTTTCGAGGGTTCGCGCTTCCACCATGTGCTTCGGCATAATGCCGCTGACGTGTGTTCGCCAATCTGTAACCATCTCTTTAGGCCGAACGTAGGAGTCGTAGATCTGGTCGCCGTTGAAGTTGACGATACTAACTCGTGCAAGGACGGAGTCGTTGTCGGGGTGCGGTCCAACGCCTACCATTTCGCAATCCATGGCGACATATTTTCCTATTTCAGCGCTGTAAGGAAGGAATGACATTAGTAAACTTCATGTAGATATTGAGGGAGAAATAATAGTCGAGATTCAAACGTACGTAGCGGAGAGGCCCTCATTCTCTTTCGATCTGAGTGTTTCCGTCGGAGTCTTGGACAAAGTTGCAGTGCTAGACTTCCTCCGTAAAGTTGTCGAGGACGAATCAGTCTCTGCTCCGTCCGCCATTCTTTTCCTCTTCAGGAGTGGTTTTGAGTCTCTGGATTTTGACTGGTCTTTCTGAGTGAACTTTGTTTTCTTCACGGTGCCATGTCCGGACTCGCGATCAGAAACCTTGCGTTTCGAGGCCGATTTGGAGGCCGGTGCCGAGGTTGAGGCACTTCCTTTCTTGAGAGTTGCCTGTAACTTCTTCCAGTTGCTGGAAAGACTTGCTGTGTCCATTCCGAGGGTACCAATTCTGTCGAGGTTATTGCATTGCGATGAAAAAAGTTGGAGTCGATTCGGAGGAGACGAATTGCCGTTCACTTTTTCTGCCGACAAAAAAGTGGCGCGCTGATAGGAGCACACCGCCTGCTTTAAAAGGAAATATCGTATCAACTATATGAGAGGAAACATGGGAAGGACTATTGAATACTATTATCACTCCTGAGTTACTGATCTACGCTGTTGAGGTACAAGAATAGATGGTCTGATCAAATTTGAAACTATAAATCTCTACTTTATCCCAGAAACAATATGTAGAGCGCTGATATTTGCCCATGATGTATGTCCAATCATCCCGGTACGCCATTTTGAAAGTCATCAAAGCCAGATAAACAAGTTTTACTAGTACTCGACACCAGGGACCTTGAAATCCTTGGCCATCCACTTCTCCGTAACCTTTCTCTTCGCCTTGCGAGCTTGCGTCACAGGCTTGCGAGACTCAAGCTTGCCTTGCACAATCAACGTACGGAAACGGTCGTCCAGAAGGTTACCCTCAGGCTTAAGCAGACGGAGAGAGTCCTGGAGTTCATCGGGGAGGACTAGTTCCAAGCGCTTCTCAGGAGGACTGTGATAGTAGTTAGCAATGGCCCCAAATAGTTTTCAAGTAGAATAATGAAGGGTACGTACGCATTCTTGCCACCAAAGGGCTTTCGGCGCAACTTGGTCTCATCACCCTCCTCCCCATCGTCGGCATCCGAATCATCCGCACCATGGAGTTCTCGTTGCTTGGCGAGTTCTGTGAGCTCCTCCACACGGGCGAGCTGGGCATCTTTCTTGGTCTTCTGAGCCTCCCACTTCGCTAGCCTCTCGGCTTCCTTTCGTCGTGTGGCCTTGTTCCGCTGGGTCTTAGACTTTCTCTCGGGACGCTTCTTGTTCAGCCACTCGGGCTTCTCATATTCACTCTCGAAGCCTTCCCATGCGCTCTCATCGTCAGACTTGACCTCGCCATCGTCGCCCTGGGCTTCTTCGATTAAACGCTGCTTTTCCTGCTCCTTCCGCTCCTCCTCGAGACGCAGCTTCTCCGCCTCGACTGCCTCCTTTCCATGCTCCTCAAGTAGCTGGTCCCACTGCTCAAAAACGGGGTTGTAGCTGGTTCCTGCATGGGGCATGCGCACTGCGGGGATGACCTTTCCGTTGGCTGCAAGCGAAATGGGGGCGTGCTTCAAGGTCTCCGGGGCGACCTTGGCCTTAGGCTTGGGCAGGAAGTTAAACTGGGGGTCTTCGACAGCGACGGAGTCATCGGCATCGGCATCCTCCGCCCAGGGGTCGTAAAGTTGGTTGTTGCCCTTCTTGGTGAAATCCGCATCCCTCGCCGACTGCTTCAGGCGTAGCATATCCTTCTTGGTCACCCAGTCCTTGCGGTGCTTCTTGGTCTTTGGCTCAATGACACCGTCGGTCACATTGGAGTTGACGCGCTTGCGGGAGTCGATTGCTGGAATAGCAGAACGCTGAGCGATGATCTCGTCGGCCTTGAGGGGCTTGTGCTTTTTTGCGATGGCATTTCGTACATGCTCAGTGCCAGTGGTATCGATAGTGAACAGTTCATCGGAGGGTTTCTCAGACACAAGGCCACTGAGAAAAGACAAAAAAATGATTAGCAAGAGCCTCAATTATTTCAAAGTTGAATATTTATGGAGACAATCGACATACCCTTTGATTTCTTCATCTTTCAACTGGCGCAGTCCCTCCTGGACCTCTGTAACATCGACATTCTTACGCCAGGCCTTCTTGCCTTTGCGAGAAGGCTGCTTGAACTGCTGCGGAGCATCCAACTTGGTCGACATGGTTGGTTGGTGGAGTCTCTCTTTCCGTTCAAGTTCTCTTTTTTTTTTGCAGGGCCGACGAACCAAAAAAAAAACCAAAAAGTCCGGGAATCTGCTGACTAACGCGGGGGCGGCCAAGCGGGCGGTGAAGCGACTTTGAACTTCCGCGTGCCAGAAGAGATTCAAGACCACATCTAGCTTCACTTCTGCGCGCGACTCTCCGGGGACCTCGTCTTTTTCTTTATCCCCGGCAGCTTGCAATTCGATCCCTACCACTTACAGGTTGGATAAAAAAGCGTCTGCTTTGATCGTGCGCCATGCCTGTCGTCAAGGGAGGTGTCTGGTGAGTTTTCTGTCAAACCTCCATCTTCTACCTACTCGCGACTAATACAATTTTAGGACCAATATCGAGGACGAAGTCCTTCGGGCCGCCGTAAGTTACCTTCAAATTGCGATATCAAGCTTCTGTCTTTTTGTTTTCCCCCGGATGGTGCAAATGCTGACTGGTCATAGGTATCGAAATATGGTCTCAACCAATGGGCCCGAGTCTCTTCGCTCCTCGCTCGAAAGACCCCGAAGCAATGCAAAGCGCGCTGGATAGAATGGTTGGACCCGGGTATCCGTAAGGTCGAATGGTCGCGCGAGGAAGACGAGAAGCTTTTGCACCTGGCCAAATTGATGCCCACCCAATGGCGTACCATTGCCCCTATCGTCGGTCGGACCGCCACACAATGTCTCGAACGGTATCAAAAACTGCTGGATGAGGCGGAAGCCCGTGAGAACGATGATCTGGGATTGGGAGGACCTGAAGGAGGAGAGTCCGCTGCTCCTAGCGCCGATGATGTCCGACGTCTACGCCCCGGCGAGCTGGATCCCGACCCTGAATCGAAGCCCGCCCGCCCCGACACTATCGATCTGGACGAGGATGAGAAGGAGATGCTCAGCGAAGCTCGTGCGCGTCTCGCCAACACACAGGGTAAAAAGGCAAAGCGTAAGGCTCGCGAGCGTCAGCTGGAAGAGTCGCGCCGTTTGGCCGTGTTGCAGAAGCGCCGTGAGCTCAAGCATGCCGGTATTAACGTCAAGGTGGTTACCCGGAAGCCGGGCCAGATGGATTACAATGCCGATATCCCATTCGAGAAGCCGGCCGCACCTGGATTCTACGATACCATCGAGGAGCAAGCCACCAATGAACGCCAACGAGAGATGTTCGACCCTCGAAAGCAGCAGCTGGCCAATAAGCGGAAGGGCGACCAAGACGAGGATAATGAGCGCAAAAAACAAAAGAGCGACAAGAACAGCACTTCAGCTGCTTCCGCTGCCGCCGCGCGTGCCGGCCAAATGCAGAAGATTCGCGAAGCAGAGCAAAGCAGCAAGCGACGGGGTCTGAATCTGCCGGCGCCGCAAGTCAGCGAAGGCGAGATGGAGGATATTATCAAGATGGGCATGGCTGGAGACAAAGCTAGCCGGATGAGTGCCGATGAAGAGATGACTCGGGGTCTTATTGGAAACTACGGAGCTATTGTTGGAGGAACTCCCATCAGAACACCCCGAGCTGCCCCTGAAGAAGATCACATCGCGAATGAAATTAAGAACATTCGGGCTTTGACCGAAACACAATCGTCTCTGCTTGGAGGCGACAACACTCCTCTTCACGAGGGTGGCTCTTCCACTGGCTTTGATGGAATTGCCCCTCGACGACAAGATATTGTTACTCCTAACCCAATGGCTACACCGTTCCGACAGGCCAACGGCGTGGGCGCAACCCCTCTACAGGGCGGTATTGGGCCTGGTGCCACGCCGCTACGGACGCCTCGAGACCACTTCGCTCTTAATCGCGAGGGAGCCCAGCCTGTTGGAAGCACCCCTCGTGATATCAGAACCCACGAGAACTTTATGCGCCAACAAATGCGCAGCAAGCTCGCCTCGCTTCCGAGGCCTAAGGAGACCGAATGGGAACTAGAGGAACTTCCCTCCGAGACCGCCGAGCCTGCTGCTGCTGTCGAGTTCAGCGAGGAAGACGCGGCTGAGCGGGATCGCCGAGACCGCGAGGCTCGTGAGAAGGCCGCTCAAGCAGAGTTCAAGCGCCAGTCACAGGCGTACCAGCGAGGTTTGCCTCGACCTGCTGTCCTCGATCTCAGCGCCTTGATGGAGCGGGCCTCCCATGTCGCTGACCCGATTGAAGGTCTTATCGCCAAGGAGGCTGCACTTATCATTGCCCACGACGCACGGAGGTACCCAGTCCCGGGCGCTAAGGTGGAGGGCAAGGCGCCCAAGCTGGGCCGTGTTGATGATAAGTTCCTGGAGGCCGCTCGAGTGGCTATCGCCGCCGAAGCGGCTGCTGAAGCACAGCAACAACAACAAGAGAACTGGCAAGAACAGTTTGACGGCGTTTGGACAAACACCCGCGCCAAAGCTCTACCCGGCCTGGACAAGTACATCGATGAAGAGGAGCAAGATGCATTCCTGGAGGAGCAGCGCATGATCGGTGCCTTTGATAATGTCCAAGAATCTCTCCTTGCCACCGCCGAACGAGGCAACAAGCTGGAGAAGAAGCTGTCCTTGCACTATGGCGGATATCAGAACCGTGCCAAGACGCTACGCTCCAAGATCGTGGAAGCCAGTGTCACATTGCCCAAGGTTCAAGATGACCTGGACGCCTTCCGCACCTTACAGATCTCAGAGGAGGCGGCTGTGTCGAGTCGTCTGGAGAAGCTGCGAGAGGAGGTTTCTTCGATCATGCGCCGCGAGCGTGAGGCACAGGAATTGTATAAGAGCCGGAAGGACGAACTTGATGAGCTTGTCGCCGGGACTGCCACGGTTAATGGGTGGCATTAAGTTGTTGGCTTTGTTGGATATCTCTTTTTTCGCCGAGTTCTTTTCTGGAAGGTCATGACCCATTACCCGCTTCGTTTATTGTATCATTAGGAAAGGTTCAAGTTCTTTTTATTTGCTATGGTAAATTAAAATCCATTGGAAGTATAACTGGCATCTTATATACTACTACTAGTATCTGTAAGAACAAGATTAGAATAGTAGATAATCATTATGTATAGGTAATTGGGGATTTATGATTCAAGATACCGCCACTGAGGATTAGAATAGAACAGATCTTGAGCTTGATAGTCTTGTCCAATACTACTAGAAACTTCACCTTTTATGCTGGCGTCGCATCGTTGCTGATCCGGAAACTGTGGGCGGTAAGTCGAATTGCCTCAATCTGCCGTGCGTCTCTCCTCTTCCGCCTTCACCGTGCAACTCGAACTCCCCATCGCGCATCGCATCATATCCATCATTTTCATCTCAGTCTTTGGTTGCCCCGGTTCTGCAAGCAGTTCACCATCATGGGCGTCCGAGACCCCCACGGCGAGGCGACGGGGACGCCCGACCCCGTCGAGAAGGGCTTCGCCACTCTCAACACTATCAGGTGAGCCCAAGATCGGCCAGAATTTATTTCTGACATGCATCAATCAACTATTCGAGTCGGTTTTCATCGGTCGCATTTACTAATCTGGATCATAGGATCGGTGTGAAGGCCATGGTGCAGAAGGTACGTTGCAACAGGCGCAGATTCTGGAATACATCACGTGATATCATACTGACTTGGGGCTTCACAGGATGGAGAACTACGCAAGGCGGAGATTCTCTCAATCAGACAGCGGAAGGATGGTCCTTCTTTTTAGTATGTTGATATTATTTCCCACATTACGACGGAAGAATCGATCATGCTAACAAATACGACTAGCGTGCACTATGTTGACTTCAATAAGCGTCTGGATGGTATGCTAGCCCTAAGTTCAGCTGCATAGCTATTTGTGGAATCAATGAAACATCCGAATACTGACATAGTATCCTAGAATGGGTTGCATCAACTCGAATTGACCTCACACAAGAGGTGGAGTGGCCCCAGCCCGAAAAAGCAGACAAGAAGAAAGCCAGCGCCTCCAACAAGGCGGCGCCCAGCAAGAACCCCAAGCAACAACTAGCTGGTGATAGCCGCGAAGTCTCCAGCACCCCCGATGCTTTGGGTGGCAAGAACGTCAACGTTGGCAAGGCCTCGCGTCCATCAAAGGCAGGCGGCAAAGAGAACCGCGATGCCTCAACCCCCGGCGACTCATTCGGAGCCGAGGCAGCCTCCGCAGATGGCACGCCCAAGGTCGTGGATTTCGAAGACGTGGAAATGGCAGATGCCCAAGACGAAAAGACTCCCGAGGAAGAAGAAGTCAAAACCGTATCGGGCGAGGTAATCACCCGCGAAGAAGAAATCGAACGCCTCCGTACCAGCGGTAGTATGACCCAGAATCCAACGGAGATCCACCGAGTGCGAAACTTGACTCGTCTCCAAATGGGCAAGTTCGACGTTGAACCGTGGTATTTCTCCCCGTACCCGGATTCATTCTCGGACGTCGATCTGGTTTACATCGACGAGTTCTGTCTGAGTTACTTCGACAACCAGCGTGCCTTTGAGCGCCACCGCGCAAAATGCACCCTGGTCCATCCTCCCGGCAATGAAATCTACCGCGACGAGAATATCTCTTTCTTCGAGGTTGATGGTCGTCGTCAGCGGACTTGGTGTCGGAACCTTTGTCTGCTCAGCAAGCTTTTCCTTGATCACAAAACTCTCTACTATGACGTCGACCCTTTCATGTTCTACTGCATGTGTACCCGTGACGAGACGGGGTGCCATCTTGTCGGATATTTCTCCAAGGAGAAGGATTCCGCCGAGGGATACAATCTAGCCTGTATCTTGACTCTACCGCAGTACCAGCGCCGTGGATTCGGTCGTCTGCTCATCTCATTCAGCTACGAGCTCAGCAAGCGCGAAGGCAAACTTGGTTCCCCCGAGAAGCCGCTGAGTGATTTAGGTCTGCTCGGTTATCGACAGTATTGGCGAGAGACACTTGTCGAGTTATTAACGGAGCCGAACCGAGAAGCTATGAGTGAGAACGAGTTGGCTGTTATAACTGCCATGACGGAGAAAGATGTTCACGAAACACTCGTTGTTTTCAATATGCTTCGTTATCACGTATGTTTCACCTGTTTCCTCTCCTTACATTTCTGTCCATGAGGACCCCAAGAAGATATAATGCTGACACTCTCCACAGAAGGGAAACTGGGTCATCGTTCTGACGGACTACGCCCTAGAAGAGCACAACAAGCGACTCGAAAAGGAGAAGGTCAAGGGCGCACGCAAGATAGATCCTGCCCGATTACAATGGAAGCCGCCGGTATTTACTGCCTCCAGCCGGACCTGGAACTGGTGATGAGTGGATGCAGTTCGATATCCGGGATCTACATTTTTGTTTTCGCAATTCTCTTTCCCAAAACTCGTTTCTTACCAGGAGTCATGGCAAGAGCAGGTGCCGAGGAAGCTGTTTGGAGTTTTAATAATGATGTGGTGGCGGCGCATGGGCTTTTCTGTGGTGTTTGAAATAATTGTCTTCTCGTGGCGCGGTGTTTTGGATGGAATACTTTGGTTTTTGATTGATACCTCTTTTCATTTCGTGTATATCATACTTTTTCTCCCTTTATTTTGAAAGACTCGAGTTCAAAGACTTTGAAACATTCAGTGAAAACTATTCTAGTTTGTAGAAACTTGAATTGGCGTCTTCGTATTACTAGATGAGATCGGGCCTGGTTGCTAGTAACAAAAGTATGGGCACACGCTACTGCCCTAAAGCGTGGCCAGACTTCTGAACTCCCCTCTTTAGTAGAGGGAGCAGTCAGATATTGCCAGTAAGGGATTTTAGTTGAACTATCCCGATGCGATACTATTCGCAACTTGCTGCAGCACTTTATGCACTAGTAGTAGTGCTACTAGTAGAAAATGGGTTCCATGGTAATTGGAAACACTTGGGATTGTAATAAAGGTGACGGTAACACTGCCGCCTCGCGAAGCGATCGCCTGAGTTAGTCCCCCCCGCCGCCCTGGGCTGCTCCCTGAGCACCCTGATCGCTAACCCTTGATGATCCGGCTGGCCCACAAAACGCTTCTTTCTTTGTTTCACTTCCTCCGATGATAAGCGCTTTGCTGCCTACGGTCTCTCCTAGGAGCTCAAACAAAGATATGACCTAATCGTGCACAGTATCTATTCTCTAGCGCTTGCTTACTCGACTTTATCCCTTAATGACCAGAATCCTCCACGCCGTAGTAGCGAAATCCCAGGAACACAGCCTACGAGGACTCTTTTTCTTTCATAAAAGAGATGTATGCCTTCCTTGACAGAACCTTCAAAGACAAAATTTGGTTACTGTCTCTGGCTCTACACTCTGGAACAGTTCAGCCCCAGGGTTATCATTCATTACTATAGTCTGGCACAAGCTCCACAACCTATAGGCCGTATTTCCCCCATATAACGGAACTGGAAAGACGTTAATAGCCTATCAAGTTCTATTTACTGTCAAATCGCGGATCACGCGTCCATTGCAGACGTAAGTTCCTAGGAGCACCCCCTTTTGCTGGCATAACCCAGGCAAGCACGGCCCTAGATTAGCTACGACAACTTGCAGTAGAGTAAATCTGGGGTTCAGCCGGATAGATTTTCGATCTCAGCTGTAGCCATTTGGCCGATTCTTTGATTTCATTCCCCTCTTAGAGTTAGAAACTCGATAAGCACGATAGCACTAACAGTTATAAGATGCCAGGGGTATCCCCCTTCACGAATTTTAGAATCCGTCTTTTCATTAAGATCTTCATCCTCGCGTCCCTGGTCCGACAGCTCTCTGATCAAACTATTCAAATCTCTTATCGTAATGGTGATGCTAAATCATCAAAAATTTTGGCAACCGACAACAGAACTCTCCAGAGATTGCTCAGATAATGGTCCTGGAAATTACACCTCTAGAGTGTCAGGGTAATCCCTCACATTCATAGAAAGATACGAGACAAATAGCTACGTACTGTGGAAACGCAGGCCATATGACAGGAATTAGACGGAAGATTTTGGTACGTATTATTATCTATACATCTGACTTCCACTTAATGCAAACTCATAGAATCACCTTAGTGTCACGAAATGGCTAATCCACGGAAGACACTATACCAGAAGCGTCTGCTAGCGATATATCAGCCGCTGATATCTACCGTGATCATCGATTATCCTGAGGTCGTACTTTTCCCTTTCTCTCAAGCTAGCAGCAGGCCTTCCGTAACTGGTCTAGATAGGCCTGGGATATTAAGGATCTTCAACATATTTCAAATAATCCAACTAAGCGAGAACACAAGCATACTATATACGCAGCCTAGTATCAGAGGCAAGGAACAAGCTCTAAAGAGACAGGACTCTGCACAGAAACGACACCAGACCCGCTATTCTACTGCTACAGATATAAAAATATCGACGAGAAGAAAAGGCAGTCTAAAAGACAAAGTCCCATACCAGGATAAGAACAGCCATCTATATAAACTCACCATCATTAAAGATTCAATCTAATACCTAGAACACTTCTACCATTCGGCCGACGGAGATATCTGTAATATAATTCTCACCATAATTCAGAGCACAATCAAAAATCTCCAACACTCATACGGCTTTATCACAACGAGCAATATAGCAGCCAATAGGACTGATACAGAAGCATCGGCTGTAAAGCAACGCCCAGGGCCCACAGGAATAAAGTAGACAGATGAAGATAACCGTCAGCTATTAGAAATAAAAGATTCCAGAAATCTTCCATAGGATTCCATTCTAGCCTACTTTCCACAACGGACTGAGAGGGCGATCAAAGAACGTCTTTATTTAATCCGTCCCAGAAAGAGCAAGTCATCTTTAAGCAAAGAAAATAATCCGGACAACTCTCATCAGCCTCCTGATTCCTCATCAAATACTCACAGAAGCCAAAGGTTGAGCCGGTCCCGTCAGGTCAGGAACAAAGGGAGAAATATCGAACACTATCAAAGATATTCTACTCGCTCAGTAACAGATTCTTTAGACAATAATACAGCAAACTCAAGTATTATTGATCCCCGACTTTACAATGATTAAAAAAGCTTAACATTTATGCTTGAATATAAAAATCATCGACCACAAGCGGTATTCTCTGCTAAAAAATTTAATTGTATTATATCTTTATACAGAAGACGAACAGCGGCACTATCAAATGGCCCCGACTCTCTAATACTGTATTTAAAAACTATTCCACGATGTAAACTTCAGCAAATCACTGACCATAGACCACATCATTTACACTGTTAGATGCAGCGCCCTCAATTACTCTCAATTTGTAGAAATATAAGATACCAGTAATCTTTCTGTTCGAGTATACGGGCCATACCGGCATTAAAAGCTACCATAGCGATCTCCTAGCGTTCCTCTCTTTTTCTTCCTCTCTAGCTTTATTACTTTCGTTTAACACTACACGTCATTCTATTCGTCTCGAGTGCTTCACAAGTTAGCGAACGCGTAACCACTACTAGTTACTAACTAGTAAGTACTACCTTTTCATACTACACAAAAAAGCGATTAAGCAATGGCTAGTAAGTATATATATAGACAATAGCCAAAAAGCACCACTTTGGGCGGGTTTTGGGCGGGTTTGGGCATGCCCATGGGTCTGCACAGGTCTAGATGTCTCTTAAGGTCCCTCGCCAAATATATTGGATTTGAGTATTCATAGCCTAGTAAGGTAGTATTGCACTGCGTCCTGAAACTGGTGCGACCTCCCACACAACATTCTTGGTGGGGCTCCAAATGCGGCAGATATTTGTCGTGTTGTAAGCCACCCAGCCAGAAGATTATACCCATGAATGTCAGACATGCCACACAGCAGGACCACCGAAGCTTATTTTCGTTAAAAATGATAGCTAAATTCTTAGTGGAATTTCAGGCGCGGCAGATATTTGTCCAGTTCTAAGCCACCCAGCCAGAAGATTATACACATGAATGTTAGACATGCCGCACAGCAGGACCACCGAAGCTTATTTTCGTTAAAATGATAGCTAAATTCTTAGTGGAATTTCAGACGCGGCAGATATTTGTCCAGTTCTTAGCCACCATGCCAGGGACATAAGCACAGGACTTCGGTCAAATAAATGCTACGAATTTATCCCTCCGCGAAAGTTTTCCGCACCTTATCCTGTGTTCGCTACACTAGCAGAGTCATAAAGCAGCTTATCCGATGGCTCCACTCGTGCTCGTCCTTCTCGTCCTGACATCATTCGGTATGGCTTCCCGCAATATGAATATGAGCTTACGCTGATGAATTATACATATGGTAGCGCCGGGCTTGGCTCAGAGCAAGGACCTCTGTATTCAGTGGTGTACAGAGAATCTTCCACGCTCAGCCCTCTCCTGTATTGGGTTTGCAGCACTTGGAACGGGACCATGTTATACCTGTGGACCTCATAAGAGTAGCCCAACCGAACTGCTGTGCTCTGGTATTTGTTCTCAAACCAATACTGACAACAAAAATTGCGGAAAGTGTGGCAATGTTGTAAGTCTAAGCAGTGCTCTCATTCATAAGGCGATTGATGCTTATCAGTCTTTAGTGCCCTACTGGATCGACCTGTAAATCAGGCGCTTGCATCTGCACGAATTCTGGTCTAGCTCCTTGTAATAACGCCTGTCCTTCTCTAAATACTGACAACAAAAATTGTGGGAAGTGTGGCAATGTTGTAAGTCTACTAAGCAGTGTTCTTATCCCCAAGGCTGTTAATACTTATCATGTAATGCTTATCGTTATATAGTGTCCTACTGGATCGGCCTGCAAATCGGGTGCTTGTATCTGCACAAACTCTGGTCTAGCTCCTTGCAACGGCACCTGTCCAAATCTTAGCTCAGACAACAAAAATTGCGGGACATGTGGGAAAGTTGTAAGTTTAGACAGAGTTCTTATTGCTAATGTGATTGCTTACGCGCCTATAGTGCCCCACTGGATCTACCTGCAAGTCAGGCGCTTGTATCTGCACAAACTCTGGTCTAGCTCCTTGCAACGGCACCTGTCCAAATCTTAGCTCAGACAACAAAAATTGCGGGACATGTGGGAAAGTTGTAAGTTTAGACAGAGTTCTTATTGCTAATGTGATTGCTTACGCGCCTATAGTGCCCCACTGGATCTACCTGCAAGTCAGGCGCTTGTATCTGCACAAACTCTGGTCTAGCTCCTTGCAACGGCACCTGTCCAAATCTTAGCTCAGACAACAAAAATTGCGGGACATGTGGCAATGTTGTAAGTTAAGACACAATTCTTATTGCTAATGTGATTGCTCACGCGTCTATAGTGCCCCACTGGATCTACCTGCAAATCAGGTACCTGCACACAATGCATACTCTTCCAGCCACAGACCACATTTGCTACGGAGCCTGTGCCACTCAGTATTGCAGTAGGCGACTTTAATGGAGATAAATATCTCGATATCGTGACTGCGAATTTCGCTAGTGGGGCAGTGAGTATATTACTTGGGAATGGAGATGGTAGTTTCCAGACGCAGACCACAATCACTGTAGGGGATATACAGGAGGGTGTTGCAGCAGGCGACTTCAGTGGAGATGGCCATCTCGATATAGTGACCACGAGTGTGACCAGCAATTCAGTGAGCATCTTACTCGGAAATGGAGATGGGACCTTCCAGGCGCAGGTAACATACCCCGTGGGGTCTCACCCGAACGGTGTCGCAGTAGGCGACTTCAATAATGATGGCCATCTTGATATTGTGGTTGCAAACCAGGGCAGCAATACAGTGAGTGTCTTGCTCGGGAATGGAGATGGGACCTTCCAGGCGCAGATTGTACTTGCTGCAGGTACCGAGCCATTCGGTATTGCAGTGGGTATTTTCAGCGGGGATGGCCATCTTGATATTGTGGTTACGAATGCCGATGATAATACAGTGGGCGTCTTGCTTGGGAATGGAGATGGTACCTTCCAGGTACAGACCACATTCCCTACAGGGACCACCCCGTACAGTGTTACAGTGGGCGACTTCAATGGAGATGGCAATCTCGATATTGTGGTTGCAAACCAGGGCAGCATGACAACGAGTATCTTGCTTGGGAATGGAGATGGTACCTTCCAGGCGCAGACCAGTTACATCGTGGGGTTCCAGCCGACCGGAATTACAGCAGGCGATTTTAACGGGGATAGTCATCTCGATATCGTGTCTGCAAATCAGGGCAGCGATACACTGAGCGTCTTGCTCGGAAATGGAGATGGTACCTTCCAGGCGCAGACCACATACCCCGTGGGGTCTAGTCCAAGGGGTCTTGCAGTGGGCGACTTCAATGGAGATGGCCATCTCGATATCGTGGATACAAACCTAGACAGTAATACAGTGAGCGTCTTGCTCGGGCAGCCTTGCAGCGCTTAGAACAGATGTTGCTCAGTCAATGTTGTCGGAATCGGAGAATCTGGGGTACGTTAGTTAGCACATGTCCCACAATGAAGTTCAAATCCCCTCTTTCTCATGATTATCAAATAAAAGCTATTGAGCATGAAAGAAATTGGAACCTTGTGACACCTAAGTTATAACTGCCGAGCGGTACCTACCTTCCCGCCGTGCTTGACGAAAAGAACACGGATCTGGAACCATATTCTTTCAATCTGTATGAGATTGAGCCAGTTTTTGAGGCACATCGCGTGCTTTGTTGATCTTATTGGTCTCAAGGATTCCTCCTTGTTCCATGTATTATTTAGCGAGGAGCTTTAGATGATGTGTTCTCAGTCTGTGGTATTCTTTTCCATCTAGATCTTGCTCGCAATATTGACCTACGTAGCGATATTGAAGCCTAGGACATCGTATAGCACGATACACATCGCGTTAGACAAAACATTGGAATTTGGCCGGAGGCGAACATTAAGGTTCGAGCAACAATACAAGAGAGATACTGGTAATATACCTAATTATTTATCCAGAGTACCTTAAGTAGTAGCAATAAGTATTTAGGGAGGGCTTAGGGAATCCGGAAGCAAACAATAAGACTGAGTTGATTACGACCACGTGATGTAAAGATGACTAAGATTTTAGTAAAATGAACGCTTAAACTGGCATCGAGTGTAGCCGTTTTGGGCGCTCGATTTGCTGTCACTTAGCGTTGGGATATAATTATTGGCCGTGCGCCCAGACAGTACGAATACTTTCGACTCTGGCGTGCGAATTTTCTAAAAAGCTTCCCATAAAAGGGTCCAGAGAGGACAACACTGAAAAGCCCGAAGCCCTACTACTGACAAGAATGGCCGGGGATTTCTACAAACACAGACAAAAACTACTTCGACTTCATTGAGAGGAACTTTCAAGTAGGAACGTCTTGATAATAAATTTGACACGGCTAGTACATGATGACTTGAGAACAGGCCCATGACACCCGCCATTTCCTCCACATGGAAGGGGGGTTGTTTGTCGTAGGTCGCGGTAGAAGCTTGCGAGAAGTACTAGTAGAAGCACAAACAGTACGTTTGACATGGCGGAGGTTCCGACCTGAGAGACGCAGAGGTATTTGGCTCTCATACTGGACCAGCCGATTGCCCATGCTAGTAGCAGGACTTTGGAATCGAAAAGCAAATTCAGTCGCGCAATCGTAAGGCTCCCCCGGGCCCGCTATGTGGACCGAAGAGACAAGTCAAACAAGGAAACCACGAAAAAGATACAACGCAGAAAACCAGAATGAGGGCGGATGAGAGGGGAGGAGGAAGTGAGGAGGTAGGAGAGAGAGAGAGAGAGAGAGAGAGAGAGAGAGAGAGAGAGAGAAGGTGTTTGAGAGTGGCGGAGAGGGAGATGGATAGGGAGGAGGAAAGTCGAGCGAGGGAGGGATAGAGCGAATAGGTATGGGGAGTATTAAAGTCATGGAAGGTAACACGGCAGATTGGCAGGTAGCCACGGAGTCACAGATGCCTAGGATATGACAGTTGTCCAGACAATACAAACAATCACTTGTCGTGACTCCGTTACGACATTGTTCAGACATTGCAAGGTATCTGCTTTGACAAGAAAGACCCCGAAAGAAACGAGATATCGACCTTACCGCGAGCCACTGCCTGCTCGAGGTCCCCACGTAGCCTTTTGTGACGAGTGTCGCGGAGTTGAAGATGTGCCTCCATTTTGCGGAGAACTCTTCTTTGGCGGGATGGCGTTACCGGGAGCGTCACGAGGCTTTGGGCCCTTTCGAGGTTTCACCGGGGGAGAGGCGCGAGGTCGCGATGCCGAGATCTTTTTGGGCAGACTGCAGATTTTGGAAGCTAGAGCTCCAGGGAATCGAATCAAGACACGCAGATTTCCAGATGTATCCTTTTCACCGAGTCCGACTATGTAGGGTTCAACACTGCGACTCTGAACGGGCTTCATAAGCTTGCCGCGCTGGCGAGTCGGGGGAGGAGGTTGAGCGGCAGCCCAGGCCGCAGCTGGAGCCATATTCGGGACTCGAACAGGGGGCTGAGAGCCCGGTTCACGATCTTCAAAGATCTCGTCTTGTTCTTCAACTTGTCGAACGGCCAAGTCCCCATCTCCACCTCGTGTATCAACCACTTTGGTGGGGAAGGACACTGAAACCGAGACAGCCGCAGCTGGTGGGGGTTGTACATCGAGAGGTTCTTTGGTGGCGGAGGTTACAGCCAAAGAGCTCTTCGTTGCCGGGGGCGTTTTCTTGCCAAAAAGAGTATTGATCTTTTCTTGCCATGAGATCTTACTCGAAGGTGCCGGGGCACCTCGTGGGGGTGCAGCTGCCATGGAGGCAAAGGTGGGCGGGGGCAGAGGAGGTGCTGCGATCGCCTTAGGAGGGAGCTTTACCACAGGCTTGGGAGTAGGCAGATGCACCAAAGGCCGACCAGAGCCGCCAAAATAAACTGGATGGCTTGACTCCTCCGGCGGCGGCGGCGATGGGCTTCGTTCATCGTCGTACTTCTCGATCACCGTCGTCGTCACCGTCGCCGTCTTCTTCGGTTGTTCAGGTCCATGTGGGAAGAAACGTGAGCTTCTCGTAGGAACACTGACAAGAGGGCGGGCATGTGTTTCGGAAAAAGGAAGACCATCCACTGGAGCATCCAGACCCGTCATTGGGTTCACAGGCAGGCTCTGGTGGTTTTGATTCACGCCTCCACCCATCACATGTCGTTGACCGGCCTCTTCTCCACTTCGCACTTGCTTCCAGGTCTCCTTGAAGTTGACAGCTGTATTAGGCTGGTTGCGATTGGCGTTAAACTCCTGTCGTTTCTGTTCAGATTCTTCGGCCTCTCTGTGAGATGCGACATTGTGGAAATTGCCCCATGCACCCAGAGCATTAGGGTTACGGGGCAAGCTTGGTGGTCCAATGGGACCGGGCCGACCGATGGGACTCAATGGATCGTAGCCGGCGATCCTGGTTTCAGGAGATGGCAGCGAAGTAATCACTGAGACATCCTGGGCTCCTGGTAACGCCTGGGCAGGTTGATCCAATGCCAACTGGCTCCGCAACGGAAGCTCCCGTGATGGGAACCCTCCAAGAGGTTGGTCAAAGATACCGTTGCCGAGAGTTCTGTCGCTGCTCAAAGGCTTCCATGGGTTCTTCACAGAAGGTGAGGTGGGAGCAAGCTTAGGATTAGCTGACCACGATGGATAGGAGCCAGGCACGTTGAGATTACCACGCCACTGGCCACTCTGCTCATCCACATTCGTATCCTGTGGAGGTGACTGAGCGGGTTGTTGCTGCTGGGGCTGTTGCTTCTGTTCAGTAGCCTGGACAGGTTCCCGTTTCGCCTCGCGAGGGGAAGTAGCTTGCCGCAAATGAGAGGAAGGAGGTTTATCCGTATGCTTCTCGGAAACACGGTCTCTCTCATTGGCCGCGACAAGTTTCTTCACCGTATCTGGATGATGAACTTTCATCATGCCATATTGCTTTGGCGCTCCAGAAGGCTCCGGGACCGGAGGCTTTGGAGGGGAATGCATAACTGCAGGAGCTGCAGAAGGTGTAGGCGGAGCCTGAGGTTTGCGGCTATCAACATTCTCCTTGCGTTGCGGCTTTTCGGGAGCGGGAGGTAGAGACGCCAACTTCTGCCGAATTCTCTCTTGCCTTGCAAGCTTCTCTTTCTCCTCTTGCTCTTCCCGTCGCTGTTTGGCTAGGCGGATCGTCTCCTTCATCACACGTGCTTGCATCACCAAAGGATCTTCTTCGGGTTCTGCAGGAGCAGTAGATGGGGCTGGCTGGTTCTCAGTCGATGCGATTTCAGCAGCAGTCGGAGGCGGGGGTGAGGCAATAGCCGAGCTACCGTGCTGATGAGCTGGTGCGTGAGGAGGTATTTGTTCGCGGTCAATCAATGCAGGATCAACCATTCCGTTGGTCTGAGAGCCCCTTCGGGCTTCGAAGTGCCTTGGAGGCCCATCTGCGCGGCCAAAGGACATGCGACGTCCGAATCCTCCACTTCCGCCACTAACATTAGAGGAGGTTCGACGACGATTCCAGCCCATACCTCCACCACCTTCTTGATGATGCCGGTGGGTCTGGAAAGCCGCGGATGGTTCAGCTGGGCCACCGTGATCATGGCCTGATCGTTGCAGCACTGCCGGGCCCCGAGCGCCTCCCGAGGGAGGCTCATTCCGCCAGGATGGCCGTCGGTTGTCTGATACTGGTTCATAACGACCGGAACGTGAGTTGAACAACTCCCGTGGCGCACCGGGTGCGGATTCTCGCCACTGACGGTTAAAATCATCCGCTGCGATCTCTTGAGGTGGATAAGCTGCATGACGAACGTCATCGCGATGCGGATAGTGAGGAGGAGGGCGCGGAGGTGGAGGGTGACCCGACGCGTTCACTGGCGATACTCTCTCGATGGGGGGCAAAGATGCCCATGGTGATTTGGTCGGAGGCGCAGGACTTGTGGATCCAGAGGGAGCTCTATCGTTTGTGCCTTTCGAGGAAATGCTAGCGGCCTTCGCTTGTCGTTCAGCGTTTGCCCCAAGCCTCAACACTGTTGGATTAGGCCCAATAGATGTCGTGGGCTTTGGAGCTGCGATCTTGGTTGGTTCTTTCGTTTCTGTGGCCTCAAGTGGCAGCGGTGGTGGTGGCTGGGACAGCTCTCCATGAGCATGCTCGGGTGCAGGTACCGGGTCGGTATGAGTGAGAGTGACCTTCGTTCCATCCGTCCACTCAATCGTCTCAGGGGCCCAATCGTCCTCGTCGTCATCAATATCAGCCCACTTCGCTTCTGTAGTACCACCGCCGTCTTCCTGGATACGAGATGTCATGTGAATTCCATATTGCTGCTTCAGCTCTTCGTCGGTCAAGTGCTTCGCGGGGGTTGCTTGAACGGCTGAAAAGGAGAGAAATGTCAGTTCCGAACTCTCACTATAAGTTTGGCATTGTAACGTACGTCGGTTTTTGTTCCAAACTTGGTTTGGGTCTGGCCCAGAACCGCCCGGATTCGTGCTGCTTGAACCTGGCTTCAAAACGGAGTTTCCAGATGTTGCCTTTGCGACCAACCGTGGCCGAGAGCTCGGTTGGGGTGTGCCCAGGGGAGTCGTCGAAGCCGATGGTACTGATGAATTCGTTAGATACTTGACCCAATATCGCAGCCTAGCAGTCATTCATACCTTTCTCCGGGGCCTTCGGCGGCGCCGCAGTCCCAGGCGCTTTGGGCAGGGCGAACTTGGCGAAAGACACAGGTTTGAACGTAGAAGGCTTCTTAACCGATCCAGTTCGTGCGTGATGTCTGCCGTCGGTTCGACTGGCGTCCGATTCCGAACCACCTTGTGAGGCCGTGTCGTCCCCACCATCCGATACCGATGCTAGCCCATTCATTTCAATAGCGCGTGACGCAACCAACCCGATGCTCTGCTTGGAAGAATCCTGTAGCTGGTTTAGCAGATTTCCTCCTCGGCCTTCAGCAGCAAGACCCACCATCGAAGGACTCCCAGTTTCCTTATCAGTTCCAGTACTCTCGGTATGCGATACAGGCGTCTGTCTCGTTTCGTCGTTGTAGTGCGGATCCGTCGAAGATTGCGTAGTTGAACTGGTCGCGATATGTTGAATTTCTCCCACGTCCCCATGGGGAGTCGGCTTGTTGGTGGTGCTTGCAGGGACGTCGGAAGGCGAAGGCTCGCCGCCCGACAGGGTCTGATCTACCACATCGCGGCTGTTCTGCTCTGCCATAACAATATTCGGGTCTGTCAAGAGCTCAAAATGCGCCATAAGTTAGAACAAGCGCTTGAAGGATAGGGTGGATGGAGATGCTGCGGACACGAGTAGGCGGCTGCCAGTCACGCATGCGTAGTATGAGGATGAGAAGGAAGCCGGCAATAAGGTATCGTACCTATGGTCAGGTTTCGAGGATCGCCACAGTTGAACTGCTCGCTCGGCTGGTTGCACCCTAACAGATCGGGATTTCACAACCAGGAAAAGGGAAGTTGGGTGACCAACCTCCAGGAGCTGAGAACCGTCGGGGATGTTGTGTTTCGGAGTTTGACCGGGCGGAATCGAAAGGCGCGAGAGGAAAACCGCCTGATGTCCCTGATTCAGGAGGGGGACAAAGGGGTATGGTCGGAGGGAGAGGAGAGGAGGGGGGGGGGAGGGAGGGTTAGAGGGGGTGTGTGGTGGAGAGTTGGTTCGTTGTTCGATGGCTCTCGGGTTTGAAGCTGAGGGTGCTGTTTTCGGTTAGCGTGAGAGCCGGGAAGTTGAGACGTCTCGCGCCTGGTTGAGTAGGAGTAGCAACTGCAATCCCCTAACAGAGTCTAGGTATCCATTCACTGTATACTTCTGAGAAATAGTGGAAATTAGGTAACGAATTATTCTATTGAATGTTGAGCTATAGGCAAACCGTGTGGTTGAACTGGTCTACTGGTGTGGTGTGCTGAGAAGTTAGTGCGGAGGTCTCCTCCCGAGACAGAACGAGAGGGAATACCATCCGAACTAATTATACGAAGACATCCAAGACTACGCTGGTGAATTTGCTGTTGGCTGCAAAGTAAAATAATGAGACATAGTGAGATTCCAAAATGGCTCTCTAATTCCTACACTGCCTAGCTCTGGGTCAGAGGATGCAGTATGTACATATCAAATCAATCCTTCCCCTCCCAATGAATCAAAGGAAATCAATTTAGTGGGGGTGGTTCTTGTGGTGGCCTTAAATATCTCTCAGTTAGCGCTTGCTGGTCGAAATAATAGACAACCCAACTGTAAAGGCGGAACTCACGGAGGTGGAAGTAGTACTCCATGCTGTAGCCGAGGATCAGGATACCGGCGATGGCGTGAACGATGGCTAGTGAGAATCAATATCTGTAGGTGTGTCGTTTTCAAGATTGAGTCGTCAACACTTACGGACACCGGAGTTCTGGTCAAAGTAGCGGGCCTTGTAGCGACCGATCAGACCGGTGGCCTTGACCTGGGGAGCAGGGCCACGGGGGAGACCGGCGTAGAAGTTCACAACACGCTCCATGCGGGCAGCATCCTGGGCAGCACCGATGGCCTTGAAGGTAGATATATGTTAGCGATCGTTCAAGTGTGCGTGGGCGGTATATGATGCTTCGAGACGACACGAAAAAGCCTTCGGGAAGGGACGGGGCCAGGGAGGGGCGCGATCAAGAGCGTTCAGAGGGGCGAAGGTATCCGGCTAACTCACGTTGGGAGAGGCGATCTATACAATATGTTAGCATCATGTATTCTTCCAGCGATAGTCATTCTAGACTTCAATTCAAGGTGGTCGTACCTTGGGAGGGATCAGGGTCGAAAGACCACGGCGGGCGATGTAGCTCATCTTGTCGGGACTGGAAGAGGTCAGAAATTTGGTCGCAATGAACGCAGCTCGCGGCAGAGAATGTCGGGATAGGGTCGGGAGGGAACGTACGGCGATTCGCAAAGTGATAGGAACCGGGGAGCGACTGACGATGCAGGAGGGAGAGAAGCGTGAGTTACTCGGGAAGTCGGGATGGCCTTGTCGCCAAGCCACGCTAAACCACTTTCGGGTGGTGCCGTATGGGAACTTCCTCACTCTCCTCCCATACAGAGCACCACCTGAGTTGCTCATCCTCCAATCCCCACTCTTTCACCCCTCCGTCTACAATGTCGCTCCTTCGAGTTGGTGGTGCCGTTCGCCTCGGTGCGACTCGTCTGGCTGCTCCCGTCAATGCCCGTTTCGTCTCCGGCCCTTCCGACCAGGTCAAGACCAGCAACGCCGATGCTCCCACCGCCACCAAGCATGGCAACGCCTTGATCAACAAGCAGACTCCTTCCCAGGCCCTGGCTCGTCACCAGCCCGATTATGAGGCTACTATCGATCACGGTACCTCGTACGTATCTTCGCCATCCCGAGCCCGAGCCCGAGCCCGAGCCCAACCCCGAGCGCAAAACCCTTTGGCTAACCATCATCCTTCTTCTTCGCAGACAATATTCCCCGGTGCCCAAGCGCGTGATGGATGGCAGTGAGCCCGGCACCACTCTGCCTGCCGCTGTCCTCTCCGGCGCTCCTACCGATCTCCAGGCCCGCACTGTTCGGTACGCAATCCTTTAAATGGGCCGACTCAGCCACATATATAGCCCACAAGCTAACAGTCCGTACAGCATCTACCGCCCCGCGAAGCCCGCTTCTCAATCCGGTACCTGGCACTCTCACCACTGGCGCATGGACTGGGATATCCTGCAGAGGGGTCACCGCTGGGAGAACCCGCTGATGGGGTGGCAGTCGTCCGCCGACGGCATGCAGGGCACCAACATCAAGTTCAACTCTAAGGAGGATGCCATTGTTTTTGCCCAGAAGCAGGGATACGAATACTTCGTTCAGGAGCCGAATGAGCGCCGCTTCGTCCCCAAGGCTTACGCCAACAACTTCCTTTACGAGAACAGGAAGCTCAAGCACATCAAGACCAAATGATTGTGTTCTCGATGTATCATGTACATATTTATTGCGAATTTCCTTTTTTCCTTTGATCAAAATCAGATTCATTCAAAACACTTAACTCTTGTCGTCAAAACCGAACAAGTCTCCTTCGTGTGGGGGGGGTTGATTAGCGCCGAGGGCAGATCTCAGCTGAGGCAGGACACAATTGTATCACCAGCATTTAGTCAACAAGGTTATGCCTAGTGATTTTTTGGCTCTAGGTCTGCCGCTGAATATATGCATATTACTAGTAGTCAGTTCGGCTTTTATCTGTTTCAACGACCAGAACGCATTGGATAGTATGGTATTTCTTGCCAATTGAAAATCTGACTTGAAATCCATCACCTCTCCAGATCTGCCTTCCTCCGTGGATATTTACTACTAGTAGATATACTACTAGACATAAATCCCTCCAAGGTTCGAAAACAATATTTGGGCACACTAAACCATCTTCCAATAAACCAGCCCTTCAGAACACAACTCCACGGTTAACTTTCGTCGTTCCCGAGCCCCACGACGACGAGATACGGTCGATGATGCGCTCACCAGCTCGGTAGCCTATGATAATAGAGTCGCCCCTTCACACCCCCATTGTCCAGTATAAAGCCTTGATATGACATAGCCATTCCACTGTTTCCTCCGAATATTTAACTGCTGCGCTGCGGAGGCTTTAACCTGCTTTTTCGAAAAAAAAATTACTACAAAATACTACCAAAACAGTCCGATAAATCCTTCCTCTTCAACAAAATACTAAGTGAGCACAGCAGACAACATGTCCGACCGTGAGTCACTACTCCCACAAGATTGGTCTGCCCCCTTATTGGATTCAGTTCCAAATACCAACTATTTGCAGAGTCCAAAGCTCCTCCGCCCCATGAAAACGAGGGCTTCTTCGACCGAATCCTTCATCACCATATGGGGAAACAGACCGAAGAGACAATGAAGGATCATCATGAAGATCGCGATAACCAGGAAGATTATCATGAAGACTCGGGGGAGGAAAAGAAGAAGGAAAGTGAGATGGATAAAATGAAGAATTATTTACATGAGGATGAGGAACTTGAAGAGGAGGGTCAGACTTATGCCGGATTGATGTAGGGAATGCAGTACAGCTGTGCAAGAAATATTTAAGTTTGCGGTCATGAAATTAAACTTATCTTCTTCAAGTTGAAGAAGTTGTTTTTATCTATATTTGTTCATAAACCACCGTAATGATCGTCCGCCATCAGCACCTACTATCAGCGCTTGGGTTGGATTGGCGGACTCTCGCGGTATTTCAGACCATCACGGTAGATAAGGGCCAAGGCTACGTACGTGGGAAAGTGAGTGCATATGGGATGTATAGATAGATAGTATGGAGGTAGCTATGGAGGTGAGAAGCAGTGGAAAGGAGTCATGTGATGACCATCGTTGTCGCCTCAGCGAGTGCCAACTTATTTTACTTTCTTCTACAGGTAAACCTCTCCTTCAACGTCACGGCAACCATAAATACCACTCCGCAACTAATTCTTGACATTGAGGACGCTCTAGTGTCTGACGAGAACCCAGCCCGTGATAATGGCACTCTCGACTACGAGCGCTGCGCCAGACTACACAATTACTTAGTAGCGTATGGTTGGATGGCTCGTAACGGCAGAGACACACCCGACCTTGATGCGCTAGCCAGTGAAAGGTGGTTCTTCAAGAAGCCAGAAGAGGACATAGCAGCCACTCGAAATCGCCTTATTACACCGCTTAACTCGTTCTTGAATTTAATCTATGATCCTAATCCCGAGTTCTTTTACTGGGTTGACCGTCTTATGATGATGCCCTGTGACGAGTATATCGACGACGACAAGAGATGGAGGAAGGCAAAGAGCGATTTGTTCTAATTTATCGTACCGAAATGAGTCTAGGCTCACATAATCTGGGTGTTATTTACGACTAACGGTATAATCAGGCCTCGTTCCCAATGACTATAGAGGATTTAGAAAGTGTGGAGCCTATAGACGAGTATAAGGAGATGTGGCTTCTACTGGAGACCATTCTATCCCAGTGGATATATATGATTCAGATTGGGAAAATTGTCCCAGGACTTCCAGAGGAACACTCTTCTGGTGATCTTCCAACAAATAGATCACAATTTGGTCTATGGTTATGGCTCCCTTACTGCGATTTCTAGGTTGACAGTACAGTAGCTGCGATGGAGCGCTACTCAGCTGCAGTCGAATATCGTATGTTTCCTGACTTACTTCTGCCGATTTCTACGCCACTCTTTACAGGCGTAGAACTAGATACGGCAGGCGTGCCGCAGAATTGCTTTATTTGCTTACTGTTAATACGGGTTAAGACTCTGCGTTTCAAGTTTATCGTACCTGGGCTAGAGGTTCCGCATGATAAGGATGCGTTTGTGAGGCGTCAGAGACTTACCAATATACTCCATGAAGAGGATAGTATTCCAGGAGTGTTAATTTTTGCAGCTCCTGAGAGGCTAGTAGATATTAACAACGAAACCCATTGCTTGTTCTCTGTCGCACATAACGATTTGGATATAGAAGATAACTCTATTCTAACTGGACTCTACAGTGAGCCTGTTTGTAGGAGCGATTATGATATGGAGGAGGCTGAGTTCCATATCGTGCTTCTATTCAAATTGCGACCAGATCCCTGTCAGGATGGGGCTAAAATGAGTGATGGGAGACCAGTACGGAGGGCTCATTTACAGAACTCTTTCAACATGGCTACTTCCATCCATTTGGGGGTGAACAGCGAGCGCAGAGATGGGATAATCTGTTTGACCGGTGGACAGTGATGATTGAAAGTGGTATATGGACAGTGGGTGAAGATGGTGTGGAGGGAGGAATCGATAAATTCAGAGAAGCAGATAGAGGTGACGGGACTGAATATTCGATCGCACTATAATATAATAAAATGATCGAATTGAAAACTACTAGTACGTTGAAATTCTTGTAGACACTACAGTGGTGTTGCAAAAGTTTGATACCCCTTGTTGACCGTCCCGTCTCCGTCTTCCTAATGGCGGGCAATAGGGGTCAGGTAAAATACCCCGATATGCAACTACTGGCCTCTCTGCGCTTATCGAACGCCCTAGTTCCATGAACCCTGTAGGCACTAAGCAGTAGTTAGTAACTACTAACTAGTCAAGCGGATCAACACAAACCGAATGGTCCGGCAGCCCCGCCGCCCTGGGTGACCCCACTCTAAAAATCGATGATAAGATCTCCCTCCAACTTTTTCATATCCACCCCTCATTATTCCACCCTCATTCTCTTCCCTTTCACTTTTCGTTCCTTTTCTTTCTCTATTCCCTATCCTATTGATACCCCAAAATGGCGCCCGCTGCTACTGAATCCGAAACCGTCGACCAGACGGTCCTGACCCTCCGCAAAGTCCTCGTCTCCGAATCAGAGCCTCTCGCTCGCCGTTTCCGAGCCCTCTTCTCCCTCAAGCACGTCGCTTGCCTCCAGCCTCCTACCGAGCAAACTCTCCCAGCCATCCAAGCGATCGCCGCCGGTTTCGCATCAAAATCTGCCCTGCTGAAACACGAACTGGCCTACTGCCTTGGCCAGACTCTCAACCGCGACTCGGTTTCGTACCTGCAGCATGTTGTCAAGGACGTCGAGGAGGATGCGATGTGCCGTCACGAAGCCGCCGAGGCTCTTGGTGCCCTTGGCTACGATGATAGTCTGGATCTGTTGAAGAAGCTGCGGGACGACGAGAATGAATTGGAGATTGTCCGGGAGACTTGCGATATTGCCGTTGATCGTATTGTCTGGGAGAACTCCGAGGAGCGCAAGGCGGAGAAGTTGAAGCCCAGGTATGATCGATCATTTCAATAAAACTTGTCTCTTTCACCAGGGCAAGAGGGAAGGTTATGCAGTGCTTTTCAGATTTGACTAATAATTCTATTTCTTCACAGCGATTTCACCTCCATCGACCCTGCTCCCCCAATGCCCCTCCAAGCCAATGAGCCCTGCATCCCCGACCTGGAGAAGACCCTCCTCAACACGAAACTTCCTCTCTTCCAAAGATACCGCGCGATGTTCGGTCTCCGCGATCTCGCTTCCCCCCCCCGACCTTCCCACCGCCGTCGACGCCATCAATGCGCTGGCCAAGGGCCTGAGTGACCCCTCTGCTTTGTTCCGCCACGAGATCGCCTTTGTCTTCGGCCAACTATGCCACCCTGCCTCCATTCCTTGCCTGACCACCTGCTTGAGCAATACCAAGGAGGAAGGTATGGTGCGCCACGAGGCTGCCGAGGCTCTGGGCAGTCTTGGTGACGAGGAGGGTGTCGAAGATACGCTGAAAAAGTTCTTGAATGACCCCGAGCAGGTTGTGCGTGATAGTGTTATTGTGGCTCTGGACATGGCTGAGTTTGAGAAGAAGGGTGAGGTTGAATATGCTTTGATTCCAGAGGGAGCTGCTGCCACTGCGGCATGAAGGATAGCAGATGAGACGAGGATTTGAAGCTTTCGATTTAAAGCTTACGATATGGGTGAAGATAAAAAAAGATTTTTGAATGAATTGATGAATTGAGCACAAACAAAAAAAGTCGTGACGTCGTTATTTTGATATCTCTCTGTTATACAGCCCGAACATATAGACCCGCTTTACCACATTTGTACATCTTTCCCGTGGATCTTATTCTTCTTAGTTGTTCTGGGTTTCCCTGCGCAGTGACCAGGTGGTTAGCTGTGTTGATCTGGAAGGAAAACAAAATGGTTATGATGCATAGGAGAGATGACATACTTGTAACCGCAGACACAGCGGAAGAAGACGGTACTACCTTCATCTGCACTGCGCAGCTGGACCGTGGTGAAAAACATCTCTTTGCGGCCACAACGTTCACAGGTTTTCTCGGTGATAGCTTCGGTCTTGCGATCTTCGGCAGATAGCGTTTGCACGGCGGATCGCTTGGCTCTCAAAGGGGAAGGGAAAGCGGAGGGCTTGGATTCGGATACAACAGTTTGCGGAACGGTATCTAGGGATGGTTAGACTGGAAAGTTCTTTGCGACGAGGTCTTCAGATATTCAGATCTTCTTGAGCCCACCTTTGTTCCGAGCGCCGCAGACATCGCAGTGTAGAATGGCATTGGCGTTACCGGTGGATTCACGTAGGAGGTTGCCGCAGTCCGTGCAGAAAATCAGAGAACCGATAGCGGACATTGTGACTGAACGCTGGCAAGTATCCAATTCTAGGGATTCAATATCATGAAAATTGAAGATTGGAGATGGAGCATACTTTTTTTTATCGCACGGGCCACTCTGCGATACCCCGGCGGTCAGACGCGGCAGATCTCCGGGTTGTCTCCGTCCGCGCGGATTGGAAATGATGGCAGTAGGAAAGGTCCAGTGATCATCGGAGGTTCAACTTCAACTTCACCTGCCCAAGAGCAAGAGCAAGTGCAAGTGCAACTACCCAAGTGCGATGGCGTAGTTTCCTCTTCAGCAACTGCCATGTCGCTGTGTCGAGTCGCTCCTTCCCTTCCATCTGCAACTAGCGCCTTCCCTATTCACCTCATTCATCCACGGTCACGGTCACGGTCACGCCCATCGGACAAAGAGAGGCCCAGCGCCAACGCCAACCCTCGCGCCAGCCCCGTTCTCCTTCATCATGGACCAGAATGGACGCCAGCAGGTTCAGGTCATCATCAACCCTCATCCCCAACCCTCCAATATGGCCTTCATTCCGCAATCCCGCCCACTCTCCGTCGATGAGGCCTTACAGTATTCCTCCATGTCCAGCGCGCCGGTCTTTGGTCTCGGTCAGTCAATCCGAACAATGAACAATGCCCCATCCCTCCAACTCTCCCCAATATATCTGCGCAAAGAATCCGGTCACTAATCTACTGCGAATGTAGACTGTATAATCCGTCCTGATGTCGGTCGACCCTCAACGACCACCTCTATAAACCATGTGCTTCAAGCCGGTCGCAATACGTTAAAAGAGCTGGATATAGAGATACAGTCGGGTCAGGATGAATCAAGTCGTTTGGAAACCTCGCGGGAATATCTCCAACAATTGCTGGATGGGGACCAGCTGACCGAATTGTAAGTTCTCTTTCTTTCCCTTTAAGGTTGGACGTATTGGGCTAATCTGATCCGCCTCTTTCCCTTCAGCAAGTTCAAGCTTCCTCCTGCCCTCACTCGCGATCAACCCCTCGACTCTGGCGCCCCCCCATGGCCCTCCGACGGGACGCAGTCAGTTAGGCTCTTTCGCGAGGATGATGCTGAACTCGACGGATATAGCCTTCAGATGTGAGACCAACCAAGGCCATTACTTGATTTGAGATGAGGTTCAATTTGGACTGACCAGAGATAGATCCCGAGTTATCTTCACCAAAAGTCAAAGCGGAAGTCCAAGACCCCGTTCCAAGAGCGACTTCGACTTTGAATCATCATCAACAGCCAGTGACTCCGAACAATTCCAAACCGCCACTCTCGACGCCAAACCTCTCCTCGAGTGGAGTTTCCGTGGTGATTCCGGTCAAATCTTCCGAGAAAACCGCCCAAAAGTCCAGTGTTAAACAGAAGTGGAATCACGGCGACGTCGATATGTCAGGCATCCGACTGAAAGATCAAAAGGCCGAGGCGGACGACGCCCTTCTCAAACTCCAGGACCTCCTTCTGGAAGTATTCGAGGCCGAGGATCAAATTGATCCGGAGATGACCGTTGCTCCGACATCTGACAAACCGAATCCGACGTTCGTGAACACGAGAGCACTCGAGGTGCATGGCATGATATTGTCTTCCGATGCCCATAGCAGTCTCCAAAGGGCCATTCGAAAAGTGGCTAACTTCGACCGATTACCAGACATTCCATCCGACTATCTCAATCGAGTCCAGAAACTGTGTGAAAAATCTATCATTGCTTCACAGGCCCCGGATTTGAGCTTAAATGATCCGTCTAATGAATCGGAAGCACAAGAGTGGCTCTGCAAGGTGGATGATGTGCTGAATGCCATGCTTGCAATTGGCACTCTCTTGCAGACCATGTCTGGACGGCAAACAGAGCGTGATCTTTGCCCGGAAGACCTTATCGAAGCCATTCCCAATGTATTAAACCAGGCCTTTGATCACTGCATAATTCCCGCTGTGGAGGCACGAGCTAATGGCAAGGACGCGGAGCGCTTTGGTTTTTTCTCGGCACAAAGACGCTTCATCGGAAGTCTGATCAATCAAAGCAAGAAGGTCCTCACTCTTTTCGCGGACTTCTTGTCCCGAATTGAAGTGTCGGAAGGCACGATCACGGCTGTCGAGTTCTTTGCCGCCAAACTCATCTTCGTCGAGAATGCACACAACGATAAAGAATCAGCTGTCGGTCCTCAAAAATATGAATCTGCAAGACGTGGAGCGATGGATGTGCTTGCAAAGATCTTCTCCCGATACCCGGATCAACGCCCATTTATATTGGATGAAATTCTCGTCTCACTTGAAAAACTTCCCTCGACGCGTCAAAGTGCTAGACAGTTCAAGCTTGCAGACGGTAAAAATATCCAGGTCTTGACTGCGTTGGTTCTTCAACTCGTCCAAACCACTGCCTTAGAAGTTCCCCGGGCATCCAAGACCAAACGGCGGCTCCAAGCACCAGGCAATGGCGACGATGACGAATCTATGGGTGATGGCAATGGGATCAAAAACGAGGAGTCAGATGATGATGATGATGATGATGATGATGACCTTGACGAGTCTTTAGAACGCTTGGCTGCCAAGGTCAACCGACTCTACGATAATGCCTCGCGCAGTGCGCAATACATTATAAAGTTCATTGTTCAACGCGCCATGACCTCAACAAAAAGCGGCGATCAGCCATACCGCAACATTCTTGATCTTTTTACCGAGGATTTGATCAACGTTCTTGGATCAACTGATTGGCCGGCTGCTGAGCTACTTCTACGCATCATGGCATCACACATGGTTGGTATCGCAGATCTTGATAAAAGCCCAGCTACGGCCAAAAGCATGGCTCTCGAATTGCTGGGGTGGATGGGTTCCGCAATTTCCGACCTCATGGCCACTGCTCAGCATATGCTTCCTGCCTTAGACGATTCCGAGAACGAGCTTACCGATTACCTCAAACAGCAATTTGAGGACTTTGCTTCTCGCGCCCTTCACCCACAAGATCTTGTTGCTCCAAGCGGACCCTATAGGATGGTTCTCGAATATCTTGCTCAAACTAAAAATTCTGACTATTCCCAACTGACGAGTGCACGGGGCTTCTACCTGGCCCAGTGGGCCAAAACTGTCTGCACACTCTATTACAACGCCGAGGATAATGAGGAATTGGCACACGACGAAACGACTGATGAACTAGTATCCCTCCTTTCTAAATCATTCTCCGATTCACGCTGGATGGAAACCCACAAACAATTTGATTCTATTTCGAATGTCCAAGGCAGATTTGCCTACATTCTCACCGTCTTGACCTCAAGCTTTGGCAAGGCATTCGACACAATCTTGAAAGTGCTGCTGAACTCAATCGCCAGCGACCAGGCCAAGGTTCGGAGCCGAAGTTTGAAGAGTGTTATTTACATGCTTGAAAAGGATCCAAATCTACTTGATCGAGATACTTCAGTCATGCGGGTCATTCTTCGCTGCACGACGGATGCTTCGCCTATGGTTCGAGACTCTGCGTTGTCTTTGATTGCCAAATGTATCGGGCTCAAGCCAAAGCTGGAAGAAGAAGGGTGCCGAAGCATCCTTGCCTGCGCCACAGACCAAACTGCCGGTGTGCGGAAACGCTGCATCGGACTTTTGAAGGACCGTTACCACAAAACTACCCGCCATGAGCTTAAGCTGGCTATCCTTGACAGTTTTCTCCAAAGTACTGGTGATCATGAAGACAGTGTGGCGACCTTGGCACGTCAAACATTCGAAGAGATTTGGCTGGTTCCATTCCACGAATCAATTGACTCTACCTCCGATGGGCCGAAACTGAAGCTGGCTCTTGGAGAGCAGGTGGGCTTGATTGTGAGCCTTGTTCAGCGCAGCGATTCTGCTCTCGAGTCCCTCAGCGCCTGCTTGCGAGCTGTGCTCTCCGATAAATCCAAGTCGGCATCTTTGAACTTCAAGGTTTGCAAATCCATGGTCGCAATCATGTTTCAACGACTCGTCGAAGATGCAGACGCCTCGGGCAAGGAGTTCCAACAGGCTCTCCTCCAAACAATCACCGTCTTTGCAAAGGCAAATGCGAAACTGTTCAGTCCCGATCAGTTGGAGGCATTGCATCCCTACATTGGCCATCTTGCGACAGCAGACGATCTTTTCATTTTCCGATCGGTTGTGGTCATATATCGCTGTGTCTTGCCGCACCTCTCGTCAGCGCACAACACTCTTCTCAAGGATGTCCAGAATGATCTTTTCAAGAGTGTGGCCAAGCTTGCCCGCGCTGAGCTGAACGAAGTTATGGCGTGTCTCTGGACTATCAATAGCGTCCTGCAAAACACCGATCGATTGGTCAAACTGACGGTCTCGGTTCTCAAGCCATTGCAAGAGTACAAGGGAATAAAGGACTTGTCAACGGAGAAAAATGCCGGAATTTTGGCTCGAGCCAAGAGTTATATTCGAATTGCGGGCTGCGTGGGGCGACACTGTGATCTTGAAGAATATTTTAACCACTTCAAGAAATCTTTCCCGACTTCGACCGGACGTACCGTGGCTGATATTATGGTCGACTTTATTCTCCCTTTCACCCTTTTCTACCAGCCCTTTGAGCTGCGAGTCATGAGTCTCGAGAGCTTGGGTTCTATATGCCAATCTTGGCCCGGTCAGTTTGGCCGGGAGCCAAGTCGAAAGACCTTTGCTCAAGTATTTAAGGAGGACGCTCCTGGCCTTCACAACATTGTGCTTCGCTCGTTTGCGGATTTCTTTGCCATTCACGAAGGCAGGACCGAAAAGTCGGTTATGCCAGCTGCCGAAACCGCTGCGAAGGAGGATTCTACTCGATTGGGCGGGTCACTAAAAGCTAGCGACAATGACGGGGCCGCTGCGCTGATTGCTCAACACTTCTTGAAAGACATGCTCAAAGTGGCACAGTCACGACAGGACACCTATGCTCTGACTGCCATTGAACTCATTGCCAGCATCAATCGACAGGGACTTGTGCATCCAAAGGAATGTGCAGGGGTGCTTGTCTCGTTGGAGACCTCAACTGTGCCGGCTATCGC